GTGATGTTGGACTGAAAATAAGCGGTTTCCAGCTGTACAGGTTAAAGTTAATGATAGACTAAGATTAAGATTAGGATTAAAGATGTTTAAAGAAATGGAAATCTGACAATTAAGAGGGAAAAATTTTTAATGTTATATTATATTAAGATTAAAGATCAGGTTTAAAGAAATTGAAGACATATATTACAATATTATATCAAAGTTAAAGATTGGGATTAAAAAAGTTGAAAAGAAATTGCTGGACAAACAATTTGGATTGGAATACAAAAGAGGGAGGTATGAGGAAGTCCAGAAAATAAGCAAACTAAAAAAACGGAAATGGAAAAGAGATATTGTTTTTAATTGTTATGTTTTTTGTCTTTTATTGTTGAATTGTGTTCTTTTTTGTGTGTTCTTGTTATCTTGTTATCTTTTCTTTTTTTTGCGATATGTATTCTGTATGTTTTTCTTTTCTTTCTTTGTTGTTTAAAACTTAAATAAAAATTATTCAAAGCAAATATATGCCAGAGCTATTTGTACAAACGTTTCGGATTCATCCTAGCAACAAACAACGGTCAGATTAACCGTTAAGCAGAATAAGCCCGTGCTTAGGGTGTCGAGGGAAGGGTGACGCCGCAGAAATTTTCCGTTGCTGGATTTTTAACATTAAGGGTCACAAATTGCCCAGCTGAGTGTTCATTTTCTCAGCTGAAGTCTATTAAAAATCCCAGCCGAACAGCAAGGCAACGAGGCAGGCTGGATGGATGCCTTATCTCTAAGTTTAGAAGCCGATGTGTTGCGAAAGATGAGTTATGAGACCTGATCAAAGACTTTGCAATTAGAAAAACTAGGAGAAAATTTCTCAAATAGAAATAAACCAAAAATAATCATTGTTTTCCATCTGTTTCATTTTGAAAGATAATAATAATAATAATAATAATAATAATAATAATAATTTATTATTTATACCCCGCCCATCTGGCTGGGTTTCCCCAGCCACTCTGGGTGGCTTCCAACAAAATATTAAAATAAAATATTCTATTAAACATTAAAAGCTTCCCTAAAACTTCATCTTACGGTTTAGTGTTGTTTATGTTTTGAATTAGATATATGCGGGGGCCCGAAAAATCTTTTAAGGGCTTCATCCGGCCCTATGTCAGACAAGGCATAGATGTCAACTTTTTCCTTTTTTAAGGGAAATTCCCTTATTCCAAATAGGATTCTTCGCAAGAAAAGGGGAAAGTTGACAACTATGCAAATAAGGACGCTCAGCTCCTCGGAGATCAGCCCAGCCGCGGAATAGCTCCAGAGGCGACTCACACAAGCAAGCCAAGCCGCATACTTCACATCTCTCCAGACAATAACAAAAATCCCCAATCACTTAGAGCTCTTGGCCAATGTGATGACTAGCTGACAAAATCCCTTCCCTATTCTAAATATGCAAACGACTCAGAACTCCTCCTGGATTGCGATGGGAAGTTACCCACTGACTCATCCCGAGGGAAATTTAAGTGGATCTGCACCGCGGTTCAACACCCTGCCCTGGTTTAGTCAGTTCCCGGTTTTCCAGAGGAAGCTGGTGGCAGGTGGAGGGAGACAGGCTCAGAAAATGATAAGGCCGTGCGGCTGGGGAGGGCTGAGGATAGTGGCTGTGGGTTAACAGGACGAATAAATGGGGCACTGGAGGAGGGAACGGGGATTTTGGCTGTGCCCTGGGAGTAACTGCTCCTGCCTTCTAATCTCCTAATGTTTCAGGAATGTTAGAGGACGCCAACAGCTCTCACCTAATTTAGCATCTTGTCCTCACAGCAGCCACCCAGATCAGGGACGGATTTTAATAACAACAACAACAACAAATTTTTATTTATACCCCACCCTTCCCGGTTCAAAAACTGGGCTCAGGGCAGCTAACTTTGGTAATTTTTTGGTAGTCTGGGGCTGTGAATGAGGCCAGTATCTGGTGTCCCCAAATGGGTCCTTTCTCTCTCTCTTTTTTAATGCTATTTTATTAATTTTAACAATAATAAGAAAAAACGTAGAAATAACCGTACCTTAATCCTTAGATCAGGGACGCGGGTGGCGCTGTGGGTTAAAGCACAGAGCCTAGGACTTGCCGATCAGAAGGTCGGCGGTTCGAATCCCCGCGACGGGGTGAGCTCCCGTTGCTCGGTCCCTGCTCCTGCCAACCTAGCAGTTCGAAAGCACGTGCAAGTAGATAAATAGGTACCGCTCCGGCGGGAAGGTAAACGGCGTTTCCATGCGCTGCTCTGGTTCGCCAGAAGCGGCTTAGTCCTGCTGGCCACATGACCCGGAAGCTGTACGGCGGCTCCCTCGGCCAATAAAGCGAGATGAGCGCCACAACCCCAGAGTCGGCCACGACTGGACCTAATGGTCAGGGGTCCCTTTACCTTTAATCCTTAGATCAACTATGTATACAATCCATAACAATTCCCAAACATGGGATTTCTAGAATCCTTTGACTCCCCTCCACTCCCCTTCTTGCTTCTTTTGTTTTACATCTAATCATGCACGTCCGTGATCTCTTCAATTTGCAATACCTTCCAGTTTTATACATTCTTCATCGTATTACAAGTGTTTTTCAAAGTCCTGCTAATGTATAACATCGTGCTTTGAAAGTCTGCAAGAACAAATTTCCGTTTTCCAAATTATTGTCCGCTTATTTTCTTGGGTTTCTAATTAATTGATTATTCCTGCATGGTCCATTAATTTACTTTACCGATCTCCTTTATCTTCTTTGGCAGATATTTCTTCTTTTTCAAATTCTGGGATGATCTTGGTCAAGCATCTGCTATCATATACAGGGAAAGATTCTTTTTTCTCTTTGAAAACATTCAATCCTGTAGAACCCAATGTCAAGTCTTCCGTTTTTTTAACAAAGGTTATTTTAAGCCTTTTCTTCAAATCATTATATATCATTATCCAAGCTTTTTTTAACAACCTGACATTGCCACCACATATAGTAGCCTCTCAAATGGGTCCCAAATGGGTCTTCTCAAAATGATGGGTCTTCTCAATTTTGCGGCCCCTCGACTCACACCCCATGAAAGAATATGATCAAATTCAAGTATATAAATTGAATTGATCATCATCATCATTGTCCTGGGACGATGAATTTGAAAGTTTGTGCCTGCCAGGAATTTGCATTCATTCATTTATTATTACATTTGCAGCTCACCTTTCATATCAGGGGTGAGGAGACTTTGGGACTCCATGGGTCAAGGTGTTTATGAGGACCCAGCCTTGTGGGCCAATTTTGGCCGCTGGGCAGGGCTGCTCACCTGTCAATCACCTGACGTCTGGTGATTGGGGGCTTGGAAGTGTGTTTACTAAAAATATAGTAGGTTATAAATAATCATATATGCAGTGCCTTTGTTCTGGAGGGACGCAGGGGGACACATACCCCTAAACATTTTGTGAATCTAACGGGAGAAGAAACTAATTTTTTTTAAAAAATAGTTTCTTCTCTAGCATGGTGAATCATCAGTTCTGTTGCTATCCCTGATGGCGGCCTTTTGTCCATTTACTGTATCCCGCCCCTCAGTTTGAACTATAAAATGGTGATTTTCTTGAGTCAAAATGAGAGTAGCCCTAAACATTTTTTTTAGAGGGAAAAAGCACTGCATATATGTATTTGGATAATAATAACGCTTATATATTGATGTACTGTGGTACCTGGGTTAAGAACAGCCCTGTTTACAAACTATTCGGTATAAGAACTCTGCAAAACCGGAAGTAGTGTTCCGGTTTATGAACCTTACCTCGGTCTACGAATGGAATCTGAGCGGTGGAAGGGCGCTGGCGGCGGGAGGCCTTGTTAGGGAAAGCACACCTCAGTTTAAGTAGGGTTTCGGTTTAAGAACGGACTTCTGGGATGGATTAAGTTCATAAACCGAGGTACCACTGTGCTAGACAAACATGTGGAATTGTAGTTGTTTGCATATACAGTGGTACCTCAGATTACAGATGCTTCAGTTTACAGACTCCGCTAACCCAGAAATAGTACCTCGGGTTAAGAACTTTGCTTCAGGATGAGAACAGAAATCGTGCTCCGGCGGTGCGGTGGCAGCAGGAGGCCCCATTAGCTAAAGTGGTGCTTCAGGTTAAGAACAGTTTCAGGTTAAGAACGGACCTCCGGAACGAATTAAGTTCTTAACCCGAGGTACCACTGTATAATGATATAATATACCTTTTACTTTTTATTCCATTATGAATTTATATATTTCATTTGCTTTTTATTTCCATTTTATTTTGTTCAAGTTGAAATATTCTGTAATAACAACAACAATAAATATACCAAAAAGGGGGTGGCAATGGGAATTCAAGGACTTACTCCCATTAACCTCCATCTCTGGAGACCTGCCCCTGTGGCACTGCCAATAGGGCTGTCCCTAGATTTGGGGCCTGGGATGCTCCTGACCTGGCAATGCTAGCAACAAGGTAAAGAGAGAGGGGCACTGAATCCCCCAAACTGCTGCCCCCTCCAATTGCTCTGGAAGGAGTTTGTGGAGCTGGGCTTCAGCTTGGGGACAGAACACCTCCTTTACCTGCAAAAGGTCGCAGGTTCGATCCCCAGGGTCTCCTGATAGGGCTAGAAAAAGGCTCTGGACATAGTCCTGAACACTTGTCTAATTTCCATCGGTGAAAACCCCCCCTTTCTCTCTGCCTATCTTCCCACCTGCTTCGCTCCATCCCCCTGCCTTCCAGTCCTCTCTCCCTGCTGAGATGCACCTGCCGCGATGGGAGGTCGCCACCCACGATGGAGAGATGGGTGGCCTATTTCCAGGTGCAGCTTGGCTTTCACCTTTGTACGCGGTGAGGATGGAGGAGAAGGCCTGCGTGTGGACGTACATATATATATAAGTGATAGCCTGTGCTGCAGGAGGTTACCTGTGTGAGTCGAGGCAGCGAGAGTGGGTGGGAGGACTTGGACTGAGCCCTGTCGCTTAGAGGCACCTGGGCGTAGCTCAGCCAAAAGGGAGACGAGCCGGTTCCTGGAGCAGATGTTTGCCTCGCCTGCGCACCACACTTATAAGCCAGGCTCCCGGCTTCTTCCCGAAGCTTTTTCCGGCTTCTCTTCACCCCGATCTCCTGAGGGTCCAAACGTGGGCAGGATGGAACAAGTGGGGATCTTCTCCTCCAAGCCGGCCGAACCAGTTGTCTACAAAGTCAAAGTGACGACCGGGCAAGGTCTCCTGACTGGGACCTTTGACTCCATTTCCATCACCTTGGTGGGGACCAACGGGGAGAGTGCCAAGCAACTTCTGAACCGGGTCGGAACCAGTTGTGCCAAGGGATCGGTAAGCTCTGGGGTTTGGCGGTTCGGGGAGAGGGTGGTCCCCCAACTTCCCAGAACAAATAGCATCTCCTTTTGCAAACGTGTTACGGATGACCTTAAGGGAGCTTTCATCGCTAAGCAGCTATGATTAAACAAACAACAATAAAACAAATTGCTTCTAAGTTTTTAATTCACGCGCGATTGACAATAAGCCACAAATGACACCTCCGGGACCAAAACGAATTTGCAGGAGAGCTCAAATTAATATCCGGGTATCCTTTGGAGTCCGACATTTCGCAATGTTTAGCTTTCGAATCCTGATCGGAAAACTCGACCAAAGAACTCTCTCGTTTCGCTATACACATAGCAGCCGGAAAGGTTTGTGCTGAACGTCAGGTTTTTGGGGTGAAAAACGGGGGGACGATCTCCGCGTGGCTACTTAATTTTGCGTTTCAGATGCAAGGAGTCTGCCCAAAAATGCTGAAGGCCTTTAAATCTAAATTGATCCGGCCTCGCTTGTGGTTACTGGGACTCGGGGCAGTGGCCTTCAGACTTGGGGACCTAGGAGGCTGAATTATACTGAGCCAGACCCGTGGTCCATTTAGGTCAATATTGTTTACACTGGCTGGTAGCAACTCTCTAAGATTTCAGATGGGACCTCTCCCAGCCTTACCTGGAGAGGCTGGGGATTAAATCAGGGACTTTCTGCAAGCCTTCTTCTCCTCGGATATTTTCACACAAATCAGTAGGAACCTTTTGCACCCTCTTCCACTAGTGTGAATGTTGTTAAGTAGAAGAGAAAGAGAGAGATATTTTTAAATGGATGTATATTCTCTCCAATAAGGGATGTGGGTGGCGCTGTGGGTTAAACCACAGAGCCTAGGACTTGCCGATCAGAAGGTCGGCAGTTCAAATCCCCGCGACAGGGTGAGCTCCCGTTGCTCGGTCCCTGCTCCTGCCAACCTAGCAGTTCGAAAGCACGTCTAAGTGCAAGTAGATAAATAGGTACCGCTCCAGCGGGAAGGTAAACAGCGTTTCCGTGCGCTGCTCTGGTTCGCCAGAAGCGGCTTAGTCCTGCTGGCCACATGACCCGGAAGCTGTACGCCGGCTCCCTGGGCCAGTAAACCGAGATGAGTGCCGCAACCCCAGAGTCAGCCACGACTGGACCTAATGGTCAGGGGTCCCTTTACCTTTACCTATTTTCTCCAATATAGATAAATAAAACCTATCAAAGTCAATGGGCCTAAGTTAGCCACGATGACCATGAATTCCAGTGGGGTCTACCCTGCGTGGAACTGACATTGGATATGGTCCAGGAACTGCATAACTTGCCATACCACAAATAACTTATTTATATTATTGGTTGCATTTAAAATTATAGCGTTGGAAGGGACCGTGAGGGTCATCTAGTCCAATGCAGGAATCTTTTGCCCCAAGTGGGACTCGAACCCACAACCCTGAGCTTACGAACCTCATGCTCTGCTGACTGAGCTATCTGGTGGGCTATATCGCACCTTTATCTCTGAGGAGCTCAATTGTGGCCTCAGTTGTGAAATGCAACTAACCATGGGCGATATCATCTGCTCAACTGGATGGTATGCGCAGACAGGGCACAGGACAAGGGTCTGCTAAGAGGGCGTGAGAGCAAGGTTGTGTTGCATTGACAAAGGGTAAGTCTAACTCTGCCGCCCGAGGCAGCTTGCCTCTGAATATCCCTCGCTGGGAATCGCAAGCCAGAAGAGAACACTGCTGTTGAACCTCAGGTCCTGCCTGGGGCTTCGCAGAAGAGGCACCATCTGGTTGGCCACTGTGAGAACAGGATGTGGGACCTGAATGTAAGGAGCTGGCCCAAAGTTGAAGAAATGAACTCAGTATCTCACTGAGGTCTAGAAACTTGGTTAGTCTGCAAATTGGCAGGTGTGTCACTCAATTACTTCTCGCTCCCTGGCGATTTGATGACTGTAAGAAGTGACTCAAAGGCACATGGCAAGTTGCCTTAGATCACGCCAAGCTATTGACTCCTCAGACTGGTGGCGGCTGTATGGATCGTGGCCCGAGAGAGAGACCTTCCCCAGGACCTGTTGCTTGATGCTAGAGATGCTGGTGGTGGGCAGGGGGCCTTCCAGATGCGAATCACATGCTCTCTGTGACTGAGCGTTGTGTCCTACCCTTCCATAGCTCAGTCAGTAGAGGAAGCCTTGATTAACTGTTGCTGTTGTTGTTTAGTCGTTTAGTCGTGTCCGACTCTTCGTGACCCCCTGGACCAGAGCACGCCAGGCCCTCCTGTCTTCCACTGCCTCCCGCAGTTTGGTCAAACTCATGCTGGTAGCTTCGAGAACACTGTCCCACCATTCTCATCCTCCGTCGTCCCCTTCTCCTTGTGCCCTCCATCTTTCCCAACATCAGGGTCTTTTCCAGGGAGTCTTCTCTTCTCATGAGGTGGCCAAAGTCTTGGAGCCTCAGCTTCAGGATCTGTCCTTCCCGTGAGCACTCAGGGCTGCTTTCCTTAAGAATGGAGAGATTTGATCTCCTTGCAGTCCATGGGACTCTCAAGAGTCTCCTCCAGCACCATAATTCAAAAGCATCCATTCTTTGGCGATCAGCCTTCTTTATGGTCCAGCTCTCCCTTCCACACATTACTACTGGGAAAACCAGAGCTTTAACTATACGGACCTTTGTTGGCATAGTTAAAGCTATGGTTTTCCCAGTAGTGATGTATGGAAGGGAGAGCTGGACCATAAACTACAGGGCCCAGAATCCTTTGAGAGAAAGAATGGGCTTGGAATGGGCTTTAAAGGCATAGCGCGCTGGCAACCCAACACTCCTGTGTTTATTGACTTCCGATTTTAAGCTATTCCACAGGCATTTGGCTATGTCTAGTTTAAAACTATATTATTAAAAATCACCTCTTCACTCCTGGCAATGGGTAGGTAACATGAGAAACGGGGATTATTGCTTTGCTCTGTTTCAGCTGTTTATTTTGTGCTTTTTGTCTTCTGAACTGCTCTGAGATCTTTGAATGAAGGGCAGTATATAAATTTTAACAACAACAACAACAGAGTCCTGCTGGACCAGGCCTATCTAGTCTAGCATCCTGGTAGACATCGATAACCATCTCTTCCATGAGTTTGTCTAATCCTCATATAACCCTTCCATAATGATGGCCATCGGAAATAATTGTAGGGTAATAATAGGTTGTATCAAATGTTAGTCCTACCGAGAGTATGCAGATGGAACTCAATGGACATGATTAACCGGGGCCAATTCATTTCATCGGATCTACTCTGAGTAGGAGGGACGCGGGTGGTGCTGTGGGTTAAATCACAGAACCTAGGACTTGCTAATCAGGAGGTCGGCAGTTCGAATCCCCACAACGGGGTGAGCTCCCGTTGCTCGGTCCCTGCTCCTGCCAACCTAGCAGTTCGAAAGCACATCAAAGTGCAAGTAGATAAACAGGTACCACTCCAGCGGGAAGGTAAACGGCATTTCCATGCACTGCTCTGGTTCGCCAGAAGCGGCTTAGTCCTGCTGGCCACATGACCCGGAAGCTGTATGCTGGCTCCCTCGGCCAGTAAAGCGAGATGAGCGCCGCAACCCCAGAGTTGGCCATGACTGGACCTAATGGTCAGGGGTCCCTTTACCTTTACTCCGAGTAGGACTTAGTTGGATACAGCCCAATCTCAGAGTATTTACTGATGATGGCTCTTCAGAAATGCTTCTGATAGTTGGATATGTTTTTTGGAAGTCTAACCTGTTTGGCCTTTGTTTCAAATCGTATGGGTGAAGGAAAAAGGGGAGGTGTTGGAGATCTCTGGAAACAGAATTGAAGTTCACATTTGAAACTGACAGAATATATATATATATATATATAAAATATTTTTTATTAATTTTAACATATAAATTATAATACATGCCACAAAACTTCACCACTTATACAATCTTTTTTGGACTTCCATCAGCACCTCTGATGATCCACCGTTTTAACCACTTCTTATGCATTTCTTAAATTCATATTGCCTTTGATTATCTTAACTAACAATCCTCCCCTTTATCCATTTTTGCAATAGTTCCAATAATTCACCTCACAAAACATCTTGCAAACCTACAAACATAGTCTACAAACATCATCACAATTACATTTCAAATAGTCTGTAAATTTACACCAGTCTTCTGTGAATTTCTGGTCCCGCAGATTTCAAACCCTTCCTGTTAGTTTATCTAGTTCTGCATAGTCCATTAATTTCATCCTCCATTCTTCTTTCGTTGGTAATTCTTCTTGCTTCCATTTTTGTGCCAATAATATTCTTGCTGCCATCGTTGCATATAAAACCAGCTTACATTCTTTTCTATTTATATCACTTCCTACAATGCCCAGTAAAAATGCTTCTGGTTTCTTTATAAATGTATATTTCAACATTTTTTTCATCTCATTATATATCATTTCCCATAAGCTTTTCACTTTTTTACATTCCCACCACATGTGATAAAATGTTCCTTCTTTTTCTTTACATTTCCAACATTTATTACTAACTTTATACATGTTAGCTAATTTAACGGGTGTAATATACCATCTATACATCATTTTCATCACATTTTCTCATAAGGCAGAAACTCACAGAAATCTTAGCATTGTAGAGTTGGACAACTGCAATGCGGGAATTGCAGCTACAGAATCGCCGTGATTCTCATGCTTGCATTCTGGACAACTCAAAACCGAAATGCTTTTGAAGGGGGATCCTGTCAACTGCCTTTGTACATTCCTGTCCATTTCCTTCACAAAAAGAGAATGGGAAATGGCTGCATTCTTCCAGGGCCTGCTGAAGGCATCGCAAGGGTTTCCTGTCTGTCTCAATGCAGGCGCTAGTTGACTCAGCATCGCTGGTTGTGTTATCCGCCAATTACTGTTTTTGGGAAACGTTGAGTTTAATTTGGCACGCATTCTAAGCCCTTAATTGAATTGTCACAGCCCGTCCTCCTAGCAGCCGGTCTTTGACACACGCTTCCATTCTCCTTTTTTCCCTTCCTTACGCCCACGTGCACCAAAGATTCACATATCTGATTACTCGCATCTTTCAGCTGACGCAACAAGGCACTTTTGGTTGCTGCTGTTGCAAAGTTCAGCCACGGAAATCTGAAAGAGGCTCCCAGGGAATACACGAATCACACCGCTTGTTTTAAACTGTCTATGGATGTGTGTGTGATGGGGAAGAGAGATGCAAATAATTAGAAGTTTTTAAATTGTGCTTGTCATGGAGCAAGCAGAGAGAGAGAGAAGAGTTTTTCTGCCTTTCTCGTAACATCAACGAAGCTGAATGTTAGGAGATTCAGGTCTGATAAAGAGAAACGCTTCTTTCAGTGCATGTTTTAAGTATGGAATTTGGACTGCTTGAAAAGAGAGCTAGATAAATCCACAAAGGGCAAGTCCAGTGCTGGATTTAGGTATAAGCTAAACAAGCTATAGCTTAGGGCCCCACTCTCTTGGGGCCCCCAAAAAAATTTAAAGGAAAAAATTAACAACTGGATGCACATTTCCAGAATATAAGATACAAAACAAATAAAATAAAACCTGCATACAGCAACAGTGTTTTGTGTTGTGTAGGCTCCTATGATGTAAGTAATGGGCCCCGCTTGCTAGCCTGCTCCCTAAATATCACTGGTTTGCTCATTTCTTTATATAGGGTGCCTACATTCTGCATGCGCAAATGGCTTTAGATACCTATGAGGTCCATAAATGACCATATAGGTAATGGTAAAGAGACCCCTGACCATTAGGTCCAGTCGTGACCGACTCTGGGGCTCATCTCGCTTTATTGGCCGAGGGAGCCGGCGTACAGCTTCCGGGTCATGTGGCCAGCATGACTAAGCCGCTTCTGGCGAACCAGAGCAGTGCACAGAAACACCGATTACGTTCCCGCCGGAGCGGTACCTATTTATCTACTTGCACTTTGACGTGCTTTCGAACTGCTAGGTGGGCAGGAGCAGGGACCGAGCAACGGGAGCTCACCCCGTCATGGGGATTCGAACCGCCGACCTTCTGATCGGCAAGTCCTAGGCTCTGTGGTTTAACCCACAGCGCCACCCGCGTCCCAAATGACCATATAGCATATATTCAACACAAAAAATAGTAAAATTTGTTGTTGACAAAGGACAGCTAGACACATAAAGGGCCCCATTACCTTCAGTAGCTTAGGGCCTCGTCAAACCTAAATCCAGCCCTGGGTAAGTCTATGGATGGCTCCTAGCCACGATGGCTGCTCTTGTGTTCAAATCCTGCTTGCTGGTTTCCCATAATGGGCATCTGGTTGGCCACTGGGAGAACAAGACGCTGGACTAGGTGGGTGTCATTGCCCTGAACCAGTAGCAGACTCATCTTATAGAATCGCAGGCCTGTAGAGTTGGAGGGGTCCCATGTGCCATCTAGTCTGACCCCATCCACAAAGCAGGAATCGCAACAAAAAAATATATCTGATTTTTTGCTTTGTCTTGCTGCAGCGTTACAGATCTGGAGATAGGTGCTCCAGTGTCAACCACAACACAAGAGAGTCTGGTTTGCTACACACATTTATGGGCACATGGACTTTTTTATTTGAAAACTATAGAGAGGCGGAAATAGCATTCCTTTCCTTACGCTTCTGCTATGGCGGAAATCATGAGCTTTCTGGTATAGACCGGAGCTAATTTGGCAGCCCTTGGACTGGTGATTTGAGGCCACCAATTTTCTCTGCTTTGCTAGTGAGTCAGTGTTGCTTCCCAGCCTGTCACATTGATGGAAACTGGCTTGGCAAGGGTGCAATCAGGGCACACATCTTAATGCGTTACGGACTAAATCACATGAATACCTGGAGATCTTTGATCTCTTCCCCTGCCATTGCAAAGAGCCTGATGTAACCAAGATAGCCAAGGCGTGTTGAGCAAACACAGGTCTCGTGGCTGAGTAGTGCATCTGTGTGTGTGTGTGTGTGTGTGGCCGCTGGGGGCGGGATGAATGAACTTCGGTGGTACCATGGAATGCTCACCAACATTCCAGCTGCCATCGCAGAATGTTAATGGAGCACGATTGCCACGAAGGAAGTGGATATAATTTCGAGAAGTATGTCACAGAAGCGTGGGAAGGGCTGTGTGCTGTAAACAGGTCAGGGAAGCTTGGGTGTTGAGGGACTGCGAACCAGGAAGATATTTCAGCAGGATTCTGTAGTGGAATATTCATTCCACATCTACATTTGCTTGCATGTCTCTTTGGCAGGGGTAGGCAAACTAAGGCCCAGGGGCCGGATGCGGCCCAATTGCCTTCTAAATCCGGCCCGCAGACGGTCCGGGAATCAGCATGTTTTTGCATGAGTAGAATGTGTCCTTTTATTTAAAATGCATCTCTGGGTTATTTGTGGGACCTGCCTGGTGTTTTTACATGAGTAGAATGTGTCCTTTTTATTTAAAATGCATCTGTGGGTTATTTGTGGGGCATAGAAATGCGTTCATTTCCCCCCCAAAAAATATAGTCCGGCCCCCCACAATGTCTGAGGGACACTGGACCGCCCCCCTGCTGAAAAAGTTTGCTGACCCCTGCTCTTGGGTATTTCCAAATTTTATCGGGCAAAATATTCCTGCATTGCAGAGGGTTGGACTAGATGACCCTCGGGGTCCCTTCCAACTCTAGGATTCTGTGATCTCCTGGCAAGGCTGGGAGAGCTTCCTGTCTGAGGTCTTGGGAAGCTGCTGCCAGTGCTGAGTTAAATGGAATTCTACGATTCCACTTACTGGAGTTTTTTTATATTGAGCTTCAGCCAAGGAGGCTCCAGGCCGTATGTGTGGATTTCCTCCCATCCCTCCCCTCCATTTTGCCACCACAACAACCCTGCGAGGTAGGTAGCTCTGCCTGGAATAAATTTAAGGCTCGAGACCACACACACAAAATTTCGCAGCGGGAAAGTGGGTGGAAGATGGATCTCTCCAGTCTAAGGGTTGGTGGCCCAAGATACTTTGCTGCCTGAGGCGCACCAGAAAATGGGGACTTGCGCTACCAAAATCTCCACCCCTGCGGCACACACAAACACACCAAGCCAAGCTGCATTAGAGGCTATCCCAGGCCATAGCTGCCAACTGTCCCTTATTTGGCGGGAAAGTCCCTTATCCCAGCGCCATGTCCCGCTGCTGTCCCTTATTGATGATGTCCCTTAAATTTCCCAGGTTTCAAAGGAAGCAGCTCCTCTCCCTCCCTCCCTGCCGGCCAGGGAGGAGGGAGGCTCCAACTGTGTTGCTTGGCTGCGTTGCTCACCCAATAAGGAGTCTAAGAACGACTTAGGGGTGGAGCTTGCATGCCTTGTGCCGATCAAATCGGCCGCGTTGCCTGGGGACTCGCCTTTGCTCAGCGCTTCCCAGCGGAGAGGGGACGGTGGTTTTCCTTGCTGCATCCCCTTTGCCGGGTTGCTGCGCTGTGGGAACCACCGCTTGAGGCTTCGTTTGGCTGCTGGCTGGGCTTTCTGCCTTTGGCTCAGAGGGGCTCAGAAGTTTAACATACCTGTGCTTGGAAAATCCCTTATTTTGGCTGCTGATCCCTTATTTTCGAGGCTGCTGGTCCCTTATTTTCAAATCTGTAAGTTGACAGCTATGTCCCAGGCCAACCAACTTATAACGACAACTGAGGCCAAAAAGCACCTCTCCGGCTACAAAACTACAACAACACAACTTGAATATCTAAAGAATTTGATGCCCACTATTGCCTGCCTGATTCAGCTGCCTCAATCTGCCTAATGGCAGGAGTGGCTGTCCGCAGTCTTAATTCGGTAATCTACCAGCTACTCTTAACTGGTTCACAATAATTGCTTTAAGGCGGGTGCGGAGAACTGAGGTGAACTTGGATTAGGCCATGTAACCGTTTGTTCACTGGTTGGCAACCGTCTGCCTCGGGAGACAATGGAAGATCATAAATATATATATATATATATATATATATATATATATATATAATTATTTGGTTTTATAGATATCAAATGAAAACAATAGTATACTCAAATTTTTGAGATTCCCCTGAGTCTCCCGGCTTTCCTCCATCCCCTCCATGGACCCTACTGTCATCGTTTTCAACGGCATATTATTTCATCCTCTATATTTTAAATCTGTCTGTATTGTCCAAAGTTTTTGTTACATTATAAAAGTTAAAGGTAAAGGACCCCTGGATGGTTAAGTCCAGTCAACGGCGACTATGGGGTTGTGGCGCTCATCTCGCTTTCAGGGCGAGGGAGCCGGCGTTTGTCCACAGACAGCTTTCCGGGTCACGTGGCCAGCAGGACTAAATGCTTCTGGCACAATGGGACATCGTGATGGAAACCAGAGCGCACGGGAATGCTGTTTACCTTCCCGCCGCAGCTGTATTTATTTATCTACTTGCACTGGTGTGCTCTTGAACTGCTAGGTTGGCAGGAGCTGGGACCGAGCAACGGGAGCTCACGCCGTCGCAGGGAATCGAACCGCCAACCTTCTGATCAGCAAGCCCAAGAGGCTCAGTGGTTTACACCACAGCGCCACCCGAATCCCTGCAAGTGTTATTCAAAACCTGCAATTGTTTTCATTCATCTCTCAAATACATTGTAAATCTTTCCCATTCTTTTTTGAAACTTTTGTCCTCTTGGTTTCTGAACTTTCCAGTCTTTTTTGCCGTTTTGGTGTATTCCAGCAACTTGATTTGACCTTCATCTCTTATATAGGGATTTCTATCTTCTTTCTATTTTTGGGCTAAAAGCATCCATGCAGTCGTCGTTGCATGCATGAAAAGTCTTTTCTGATCTTTGGGTCTTTATCTTCCTGTTATCTGTACAACTTGTGCCACCCAACCTTTAAAAAAAGCTTCAGGTTTAATTATAAAAGCTATTTTAAACATTTTCCCCCCATTTCATTACACATCATTTCCCAGAAGGTTTTTATTACACGCCCACCACATATGATGAAAGTTGCCTTCTTGTTCTTTACATTTCCAACAAATATTTGTACTTGTCCTGTGCATTTTTGCTAATTTAGTAGAACTCAGATACCATCTATACATCATTTTCATATAGATTTCTTTCAAGGTACAACACGCCAAAAATTTTAAATGCGTTTTCCATAACTTTTCCCAAGCGGTTAATTGAATATTATGTCCCAAATCTCTCGCGCAATGTATCATTACTGATTTAACCTGTTCATCCTTTGTGTGCCATTCTAAAATTAATGTATACATTTTCAAAAGGAATTTTACATTATTTTCTAACATCTTTTTCTAATCTTGACGCTTCACAACTGAATCCTTTCTTTTTATCTGTCTTAAAAGTCTCATTTAATTGGTGATACTGTAACCAATCAGTTAATAAATGCCTTATCTCTCCAAAATCCTTCAGTTTCACCTGATGTTTTACTTCAATTAACAGCTCTATATAAGTCACCCATTCATTTCTCATCTTTACTTTTTTCGGAGATATTGCTTCAATTGGGGAAAGCCACCATGGTGTTTTCTGTTCTAGTAAAGGAAATTGATTTCCTTACTAGATTATTCTGAAAACCTTTATGTGCTTTTGCTTTTTCATACCATAGATATGCATGCCATCCAAATCTATTATCATGTCCTTCCAAATCTAAAACATCTACATTTTCCAATAATATCCATTCCTGGAGCCAGCAGAGACAAGACGCCTCATAATATAGTTTTAAATCTGGCAAGGCGAAGCCCCCTCTTTCTTTAGCACCTGTTAACAATTTATATTTTATTCTTGGTTTCTTCCCCTGCCAGATAAATCTTGTAATATCTTTTTGCCATTATTGGAAGCGTCCAGCGCCGCTGACCACAGGTATTGATTGGAATAAAAACATTCTTGGCAATACATTCATTTTTATAACTGATATTCTTCCCCATAATGATAGGTTCATCCTTCCCCAAATCTCTAAGTTTCTCTTTATCTCTATGTAGTTCTCTTTAAAAATATTAATATTCTTAGCTGTCAACCAAACACCTAAATAATTGACTTTTTTTCTCTATACATATGCCCGTAGTTTGTTGTAAGTCCTTCTTATATTGTTCTGTCACATTTTTCACCAAAACTTTAGTTTTGTTTTTATATAGCTTATAAGCTGCTACCTGGCCAAATCCCTGGACCTTCTACACAACTTTTGGTATACTACTCTTGAGATGTTCCACCGTAATCACAAGGTCAAGGTAAATTTAACGCACATGACTCCCCCACAAAGAATCCTGGGAACCGTAGATTGTTAATTGCTGGGAACTGTACCTCTGCGTGTGAAATTCCTTTTTTTGTGGGCTGGGCTGTGTGGGATGCGCTTTAAGGGACTGATTATTTATTATTATTATTTATTCAATTTATACCCTGCCCTGTACCCAGAGGTCTCACGGCGGTTCACAAACAAGACCACAACATATAAAATCAAACCAAAAACTAACTCATTTTTTTAAAAAAACCCCAAAAGAGCCACATTCTAAAAGGGATGCCAATAAGATCAACCAAAGGCCTGGTTAAAAAGCAACATTTTTGCCTGGCGCCTAACGAAGGCGCCAGGTGAACTTCCCTGGGTAGAGCATTCCACAGACGGGGAGCCACTGCAGAGAAGGCCCCGTTCTCGTCTTGCTACCCTCCGGACCTCTGAAGGAAGAGACACAAGAAGAAGGGCCTCAGAAGACGATCTCAGGGTCTGGGTAGCTTCATATGGGAAGAGGCGGTCCTTGAGGTATTGCGGTCCTGAGCTGTTTATGTGCTCAATTGATCTGGATCGTAAGGTAGGTAAAGGTAAAGGAACCCTGGACGGTTAAGTCCAGTCAAAGGCGACTATGGGGTTGCGGTGCTCATCTCGCTTTCAGGCCGAGGGAGCTGGCATTCGTCCGCAGACAGCTTTCCGGGTCATGTGGCCAGCAGGACTAAACTGCTTCTGGTGCACCGGGACACTGTGACAGAAACCAGAGCGCACGGAATCGCCATTTACCTTCCTGCCACAGTGGTACCTATTTATCTACTTGCACTGGCGTGCTTTCGAACCGCTAGGTTGGCAGGAGCTGGGACAGAGCAACGGGAGCTAACCCCGTCGCAGGCATTCAAACCGCCGACCTTCCAGTCGGCAAGCCCAAGAGGCTCAGTGGTTTAGACCGCAGCGCCACCCACGTCTGGATCGTAATCAATTCTAGGAAGGCCCATTTTGTCACACACACATTCAAACCACGCTGCCTCGCAACAGGAAGAAATTAAAGAGGTCAATTGATCCATTCTGGGAATGTTGGATTCCAGCCTGATTGGCAGAGGAGCCCTGTTATAAAACAATAGTGGCGCCTCTCATTGTTCAGTTGCCTTTTTCGATCCACCCTGTCACTTGCTTCCGTGATGGGCAGCCGGGAGCCAGCGCACTGGAGTTTCTCTTTCTCTCTCTCGCATGTGGTCCAACCCACGTGCCGTTCCAGTGGCAAGTACAGTCTGGCCTGGAATCTGAAGGAACGTGACGGGAAGGCGTCGGTTTACGGCTACCGTCAAGCGAAAGCGAATCCTCAGCAGCAACTCCAAGTTGACTCATGGCCGCGTGGCAAGACCTGTTCTGGACTCGGTTTGCGAAGGACGCCGGTGCGCAGACTCAACACATGCTTAGGGCGGGAGCAAAACAGCTCCCACCACCCGAAAAAGTGTGTTGTTGTTGAGACAGTGTGGTGTAGTGGTTAAGAGCGGTAGTCTCGTAATCTGGGGAACCGGGTTCGCGTCTCCGCTCCTCCACATGCAGCTGCTGGGTGACCTTGGTCCAGTCACACTTCTCTGAAGTCTCTCAGCCCCACTCACCCCACAGAGCGTTTGTTGTGGGGGAGGAAGGGAAAGGAGAATGTTAGCCGCTTTGAGACTCCTGAAGGGGAGTGAAAGGCGGGATATCAAATCCAAACTCTTCTTCTTCTTTTGAAAGAACTGGACGTACCCACACAAAATCAAAGCAGTCAAAATCAGGGCTTTGTTAGGCTTCCTTATCCACTCCCCCATTTTCCTGCTCTTCTTTTATTCTTTACCCCCTCCTAGGCACACAGGGATCTGCTTTAGATTGTTAACAGAGGAATCTGAGGGCTCCCTTGGACAAAAAACAAGGACACCAGCTAGGAATACCAGAGCAAAACAGCAGCCAGTAGGCTTGGTCTTGATTGAAGACTGTCACGACAGGACTCCCACCTGCCACCAGGTGGAACAAGATGGAAGCCCCAAACAAAAGAGCCCCCAAACTTTTATTAGCTGCTAATCCCCATGTTACACCCCCCCCAAACTACATCACTCATACATCACAGTTACATCATGAAAGGGGAGGTCTGGTGGCAGTAATCTGAGCATCCTGGACCCTGCCCCATGGTTCCCCTTGCCCTCCACCAAACACCCATCAAGTGAAGCAAAAGACATATTTACATTTCCCTGTTTCCCAGCCAAGATCATCATACCCGTTCATCTTCATGTGGGTTTGTTATTTCTGGAATGGCTACCTGTCTGGCACTCAGGTATCAGGATGCCAGGGATTATCACTCAGGCAGAGGGGCTGCTGAGGAGCTGAGCTCACATGTCTATATGAATTTCTGAAGTTTTCCCAGTGAGCCAGTACATAGATGCATTTATCAGTGAATTCTTACATTTGGTATTGAGGCCCTTTGAATAGATAGGAAGAAACTGTGATGAAATGTTTTGTGGGGACAAATCACAAAAGTGATTGTGCTGGTTTTGGTAGTGGGCTGCATGTGCATGATATCTGCTGGAGGGGCAACCCCCCCCCCAACCTATACATAAATCCTTGCAACAATATGCAGTCAGGTCATTGGTCCATTTAACTCAGTACTGTCTACACGGACTGGCAGCAGCTTCCCAAGACCTCAAACAGGAAGCTCTCTCAGCCTTGCCAGGAAGATCACAGAATTGTAGGAAGGGACCCCGAGGGTTATCTAGTCCAACCCTCTGCAATGCAGGAATCTTTTTGCCCAGTGTGGGGCTCGAACCCACAGCCCCAAGATGAAGAGTCTTGTGCTCTACCGACTGAGCTCTTCCGCAGGCCAGAGGACCGAACTGCTGCATGCCAGGCCCTGAGAGATGTCTCCTCCCCAATAGTTTTGAGATAAGCTTTGTGCCTTAAGTTTTTATTTTCTCAGATGTTAAAAGTGTCCTGTTTCCGGACTGTTCCAGTAAATCAATGGGATGTTTGGGTTCATGTTGACCCCAAAACCATTCCAAGCTGGCGGCTGACAGGATTTCCACTGCCCAACAGTGGAAAACAGTACAAAACTTTAACAGTTCCGTGTGGTATAAGAACTTGTAGGCCTTTGTGAACCCTGAGCATTTTTATTCAATGTGGCAGGACTGTAATCTCTTACGTTTTAGATTTGGACATGCAAGAATTTATCCCTGTGTTGCCTAGAGAAACATGGGTGCCATGATTTAGGATTCGGGTGCCATAACTCTTAGAATCCTAGAATTGTTGGAAGGGACCCTGGGGTCATCTAGTCCAACCCCCTGTGACACAGGAATCTCAACATGAAACGCCCTCCCCAATTCAGTTTGAAGCCCTGCTTCGCTTTGCAAATGCTCTAGCAATTTATGATTACATCATTATATGCCCTGCCTGGTATTGCCGACGCTGTGTAGATCTTTTATTACTGTTTATTTGTTTTGGTTATGCAAGACTCCGTTTAATAAAGGGATTAAAGAGTGTGTCACCCTAAGCGTTCTGCGTTGTGTGGAAGCAGCGTAAGCAGCGGGGAGCTGGCTGCACGTTCCTTGCTTTGGAGAAAACCTATACGGAGGTTCCATTTTCATAGCTTTCCACCCAAAAGATTCTAGCCCTCAGGGCGTCTTATGCTGTGGGCACACAAGTTATTTAGTTGCAATTCCTGCATCGCAGGAGCTTGGACCCGATGACCCTCCACCCCCATCGTTCAGCCCGGACGCTGAGATCCAGCTCCGAGGGCCTTCTGGCGGTTCTATCCCTGCGAGAAGTGAGGTTACAGGGAACCAGGCAGAGGGCCTTCTCGGTGGTGGCACCCTCCCTGTGGAACGCCCTCCCATCAGATGTCAAGGAACTAAACAACTACCTGACTTTTAGAAGACATCTGAAGGCAGCCCTGTTTAGTTTTTAATGTTCGATGTTTTATCGTGTTCTTAATATTCTGTTGGGATACTATAGTTGTTATTGTTGTTTGTTATTTATTATTATTATCCTGTTCTCACAGTGGCCAACCAATTTGCAGTTGCAATCAGCCTGTTATTTGCAATCGCAGCCTGTCCGTTAGTGCTGCAACTTGGCGTTTGGTGTGAGTTTTGCAATCACATTTTGCGGCAGAATCCATCCCAAGTTTGGACCAGAACTGAAATAATTCTTCCTTCCTTCCTTCCTTCCTTCCTTCCTTCCTTCCTTTCTTTCTTCTTCTTCTCTTCCCTTCCTCCCTTCCTTCCTCCCTCAACAGGTGGAGGAGCACGAAGTCTTTTGTGACCACGACCTGGGCCCGATCCTGCTGATCCACCTGCACAAGGACCCTTACTCCTTCTTCCCCGAGAACAGCTGGTACTGCAATGCTGTTGAGGTGACATCTCCGCACGGTGAGGTCTATCGCTTCCCCTGTTACCAGTGGATAGAGGGTTACTGCACCAAGTCCTTCAGAGAAGGAGCCGGTGAGTATTCCTCACTCCCCGCCCCCCTGCCCTGAATATCCTGGCACTTGCTGGAGAGGCAAGGTCCCATCCCATAATGACATCAATGATTCATCCTGAAATGAGGTTTGAAATTCAGAATGAGACTTTGTATGTTTGCTTGCTTGCTTTCTTTTTCCAGACAGCCCCCCCCCCGAAAAAAACCCTCATTTTAATCAGATGTACCGTATTTTTCGCTCTATAAGACGCACCAGACCACAAGACGCACCTAGTTTTTGGAGGAGGAAAACAAGAAAAAAAATATTCTGAATCTCAGAAGCCAGAACAGCAAGAGGGATCGCTGTGCAGTGAAAGCAGCAATCCCTCTTACTGTTCTGGCTTCTGGGATAGCTGCGCAGCCTGCATTCGCTCCATAAGACGCACACACATTTCCCCTTACTTTTTAGGAGGGAAAAAGTGAGTCTTATAGAGCAAAAAATACGGTATTTATTTCATTTTTACCTCCCGTTGAGGACCTCATAGCAGGTTGCATGGGTGTGATTGACAAGGCCAGCTCAGCTGTTTGTTGCCATCCCATTAGACTCTTCCTGCATTCGTTTATGGCTTTTGTTGGGTAGGTGAGGGAATATATTAACTACATTTGATCCCTCTTCAGACCCATGTGCGTGGGTTGAGACAGAGGAAAAATGCGTCCGCAAGCCTTTTTCAAAGGACAGGCCTTTTTGCAGACTCTTTCACAAGAGAAAGCCCTATCAGCAGAGTCTAAATCTCATTTTAAGCAGTTTAATTGAAAGCCTAGAGATTGGCCGTTAGGCTGATCTCCCCCTTTTGTTTCCCTGTTTATCAAAGAAACAGGCTACAGACTGGAAACTAAGTTTATAAAATATATAGTTGACTCACAGTCAAGGATTTGTCCTTAGCAGCAACAGCAGTAAAAAGTAACGCAGTTAAAATACTTGTATTTACGGTGAAAACAGCCTCAGGCATGTTTGTGATGCTTTGAGCAGAAGTCCACTATCATGGCTGGTTGGAGAGAGAGAAATCAGCTGTACCTCGGAAGTCAAATAGAATCCATTCTGGAAGTCTGTTTGACTTCCGAAACATTTGACTTCCAAAGTGCAGCTTCTGATCGGCTGCAGGAAGTTCCTGCAGCCAATCGGAAGCCGCAGAAGCTCCATCGGATGTTCGGCTTCCGAAAGAACGTTTGAAAACTGGAACACTCGCTTCCAGTTTTTGATCGTTCAGGAGCCGAAATGTTCGACTCCCAAGGCGTTTGGGAGCCAGGGTACGACTGTACGTCTCTGCTTCTTCCCTCCCAGGAGAGGAGGGGAAATGACATCACACAGAGCCTTCTCTGCCAATTACATTTCTATGGTCTGAGTCGGCAGCAGTACAGCTCTATGGTCTTAACCCTTTCACACGCTAACTAGCAAGAACGTGCATTGTTAGATTTGACTGCCTATCTCCCACATCCGTAAGGATGTGTAAAAAGTGGAGAAATGTGAAAAATTGGGGAAAGCCAGGGAAAGTGTAAAAACCACTTGACCTTTTTCTTCCTTTTGTGTGCAGCCAAAACTCCAGCGGATGACACTCATTATCTCCAGCGGAGGCACCGCCGTGAGGAACTGGTGCGGAGTCATACAAAATATGGGTGAGTAGAGAACAAATGTACAGAGAGACTTACCTACCTACCTAGGACGGCCTACCTAGGACCCTCGAACCTACGGGACCGCCTCTCCCAGTATGCCCCACGGAGAGCCTCAAGGTCCATAAATAGCAACACCCTAGAGGTCCCGGGCCCTAAGGAAGTTAGATTAGCTTCAACCAGAGCCAGGGCCTTTTCAGCACTGGCCCCGACTTGGTGGAACGCTCTGCCTCATGAGACCAGGGCCCTGCAGGATCTGATTTCTTTCCGCAGGGCCTGTAAGACAGAGTTGTTCCTCCTGGCCTTTGGCTTGGAGCCAATTTGATCCCCTCCCCCTCTTTCTTTTTCCTTTCTCCTCCTGTGATGAGGCTGCATTTTAATATTTTAATGTTTCAATATTTTAATGTTGTATTTTAATCTTGTTTTTAAGTTGTATTCATTCAACTTGTTTTTATTATTGCTTGTTAGCCGCCCTGAGCCCGGCCTTGGCTGGGGAGGGCGGGGTATAAATAAAATTTATTATTATTATTACCTACCTTCATTCCTCAACAGGTGGAGGAGCAGCAACGGTTGTTGCTGTTCTTGTTTTGCAGGAGGTAATCTTCTGCCTTGGGCACTGGCCCTAATATGCGAGTATCTTCATCATATCATTACACATGTTAATTTTGCTATCATAGTGTTTGAAATCTAACTACCCAGAAGTGTCCTTACATGATGGAGAACATGGTCAAACCTGAAGGCCACATTCACTTCTGGGAAAACTTACGGCAGCCACTTTTTCCTTTCCTTTCTTTCATAAAAATTATACACCTCTTGATTGTAAAAAAACAAACAAACCTCAAAATGGCATACAAAAAGATAAGGCAATAAAACCAAGATTTACAACCCTACTGTAACACATACAAAAGTTAAAATACTAAAACAGATTAAAGTTATCTGTCGGTAAAGTAAAGGTAAAGGGACCCCTGACCATTAGGTCCAGTCGTAATCGACTCTGGGGTTGCGGTGCTCATCTCGCTTTACTGGCCGAGGGAGCCGGAGTACAGCTTCCGGCAGGACTAAGCCGCTTCTGGCGAACCAGAGCAGCGCACAGAAACACTGTTTACCTTCCCGCCGCAGCGGTACCTATTTATCTACTTGCACTGGTGTGCTTTCGAACCGCTAGGTTGGCAGGAGCTGGGACAGAGCAATGGGAGCTCACCCCATCGCAGGGATTCGAACCACCGACCTTCTGATTGGCAAGCCCTAGGCTCTGGGGTTTAACCCACAGCCTTGTCTAAATAAGAACATTTTTAGCAGGCACCGGAAAGAGTAAAGCGAAGGTGCCTGTTTGATCTCATGAGTTCCAAAGTGTAGGTGCTACCACATGAAAGGACCTAGTTCTTACAAATGCAAAATCGGGTATTGTGTGGCACCTGTAGCGGTGCCAGTTCTGCCAATCACAGTGGTAAGGCAACCTTGTAGGTGCATGTGGTGGGCAGGACCAGAGGCAAAAGTGGGTGGGGCCACAAATTAAAAATGTGCCTTTGTAGAGTATATTTGTTGCCACACACACTCCCACAGCCCTCTTTGTCCTTCTCACGGAACGACGATTCCCAGAGCGGCTTAACAGTAAATCCCTCTTCCCAGGCAACTCTAGGAATTGCAGCTCTGTGACGGGAACAGACAGGGGCATAACTGTCAAACGTCCCTTATTTGGCGGGACAGTCCCTTATTCCAGCTCCATGTCCCGCTGCTGTCCCTTATTGATGATGTCCCTTAAATAAGCTACTGAAGTTAATGGGGCCCTTTCTATGTCCAGCTGTCCTTTGTCAACAACAAATTGTTGCTGTTTTTTGTGTTGAATATATGCTATATGGTAATTTATGGACCTAATAGGTATCTAAAGCCATTTGCATGCAACAAAATATGTATTTTATCAAAGTAATTGTTGATCCCTTACTTTGGCTGCTGATCCTTTATTTTCGAGGCTGCTGGTCCCTTATTTTCAAATCTGTAAGTTGACAGCTATGGACAGGGGTCTCCTAACAACTTTCAAGATCCTTAAGCAGCCACAGTTCCCAGGATTCCTTGGGGGGAAGCCATGACAGTGCAAAATGACATCCCAGTACTTTGAACGCAGAGTGCAGATGGGGCCTGACAACAGGCCAAATCCTGCCTTCCTTCAAACAGCCGTCATGCCCACCATCAGGCAATTCGCTCTGCACTCCTGTTATATATTCAGTGGTCTGTGTTTGCCTAAGCTTGAGTCTGGACTAAGGAATCTGAGCTCCTGTGTTCTGATTCGATACATGATATCCAATCACAGAACATTTCAGGATTTGGGTCTCTGCCATTGGCCCTTGAACTCTGAGTCGTGATTCGCAGTTTGGAAGTTTAGACAGCCAATCACGTTGGGAGTGGGAGTGGCCCAGGCCTTCAGAAATGTATATAAGCAGTTGTTTTGCCTCTGTTTCCCAGTTACAGCGGTACCTCAGGTTACATACGCTTCAGGTTACAGACGCTTCAGGTTACAGACTCCGCTAACCCAGAAATAGTGCTTCAGGTTAAGAACTTTGCTTCAGGATGAGAACAAAAATCGTGCTCCGGCGGCGCGGTGGTAGCAGGAGGCCCCATTCGCCAAAGTGGTGCTTCAGGTTAAGAACAGTTTCAGGTTAAGAACAGGACCTCTGGAACAAATTAAGTACTTCACCTGAGGTACCACTGTACCTGGCATACATGCATTTGATTAGCCGGATAATCTCTGTTTAAAAGCATGATGGGCAGGGAGGGCTGATTCTCAGAACAACTTCACACTCCTGTGCAGTCTCAGCTCCCAGCTTCTCATCTCTTCTCGTGCTTTGATCCTTGCTGCATCTTTGGGCTTTTTCCTGCTCTTCACTCGTTGCTGAGCCTGCACTGGAATAAAGCCTGGCTACTTGACATACGAGAAAGGGCACTTGCCATCATTCTTGGGCAGGAGACTGGGACAGGCGTAGCTTAAAGCAAGTCGTCCAAATCCTTTCCTCTACATCTTTTGCCCTAATCTGCACCATCAGACCCACAGGGGACTTGAAACCACATAACTCTGGACTTATATTTATTAGAACTTCCCAGGCTTTTCTCCTATGAGCCACAGGAATGGCAGAGGTGCAAAGCAGATGGGCGACCTCAAAAGGCAAGACCGTAGGTAGGCCAACTAAGGCCCGGGGGCAGCCCAATTGCCTTCTCAATCCGGCCGGAGGATGGTCTGGGAATCAGCATATTTTTACATGATAATAATAATTTATTATTTATACCCTGCCCATCTGGCTGGGTTTCCCCAGCCACTCTGGGCGGCTTCCAACTGAATATTAAAAACAATACAACATTAGACATTAAAAACTTCCCTAAAGAGGGCCACCTTCAGTTGTCTTTTAAAAGTAAAATAGTTGTTTATTGCCTTGACATCTGCTGGGAGGGCGTTCCACAGGGCAGGCGCCACTACCGAGAAGGCCCTCTGCCTGGTTCCCTGTAACCTCACTTCTCGCAGTGAGGGAACCGCCAGAAGGCCCTCGGCGCTGGACCTCAGTGTCCAGGCATAACGATGGGGGTGGAGACACTCCTTCAGGTATACAGGACCTGTACATGAGTAGAATGTGTGCTTTTATTTAAAATGCATCTCTGCCTCCCGGCATTCTGTAGGAATTTCTCATTGGCAAACACAGTTCACAGGACTGCCTGGCCATTGTTCATTCGTTCTCCCTCTCTCTATCAATTTATCTACACAGGTGGAAGGAATACATCCCAGGAACTCCGTATTGTGCCGATATTGATACGGACATGACAATGGAGTACAATATCCAGTACTCTTTCCCGAAAGCCACTGCCTTTTTCGGGCGTGGGACCCTCGCGTAAGTCTTGCATAACCTGCCAGCACTTCTTCTTTCTTTCTTTCTTTCTTTCTTTCTTTCTTTCTTTCTTTCTTTCTTTAACATCTTTATTGAAAGTTCAAAAAATACATAATTATATGTGCCCTAAACATGGCGAGACGTAAATAAAAGAGAGAAAAAGAGAAACCCGTGAAGAAGGGAAAATAAAGGGGGGGCAGGGAAACTATATTTTACAAGGTTGTTATTGTACTTCACCAGATCTCAACCTATTACACTATTTGTAAGACTGGATTCCAAATATTGTTGTGTTTGTCCATGGCAAGTCTGCGTTAAATGCAAGTTGTTCATATGTTGCGAGCTTGTATACGTCTTCAATCTAATCGTAGAAGGGAGGCGCATTTTTATTTTTCCCAGTTCATCAGTATCAGTCTTTTTGCTGTGGTGAAAGCACAGAGAGTCTACTCGTATTGTCCTTTTGTAAGGTTCCACATGCTGGGTATATACTGTATTTTTCGCTCTGTTAGACGCACTGGACAATTGGACGCACCTAGTTTTTAGGGAGGAAAACAAGAAATAAGAAAGGAACGCAAAGCATCCTGAGCTAAGAGGGAGCGCTCCTCCATCTTCGCTCAGGAGGCTTTGCGGGGCTACCCCTGAAGACAGGAGAGCAAGCGGGATCAGTGCGCACCGATCCCCCTTGCCCGCCTGGCTTCAGCAAAAGCAAGCCAACTGGCTTTCCTCCCGCAAGAGCCGTGCGCTCTTTAAAGGGAGCGCGGCTCTTGGGGGCTTTTCTGGGGTGGGGGAAGGGACAGAGCCACGCACTCTGTCCCTTCCCTCACCTCCCGCAAAAGCCAGGGGCAGGGATGGATCCCGCTTGCTGTCCTGGCTGCTGTCCTGGTTGCGTGTAGCCTCTCCGCCGGGAGAATCATAGAATCATAGAGTTGGAAGAGACCACAAGGGCCATCGAGTCCAACCCCCTGCCAAGCAGGAAACACCATCAGAGCACTCCTGACATATGGTTGTCAAGCCTCTGCTTAAAGACCTCCAAAGAAGGAGACTCCACCACACTCCTGGGCAGCAAATTCCACTGTCGAACAGCTCTTACTGTCAGGAAGTTCTTCCTAATGTTTAGGTGGAATCTTCTTTCTTGTAGTTTGGATCCATTGCTCCGTGTCCGCTTCTCTGGAGCAGCAGAAAACAACCTTTCTCCCTCCTCTATGTGACATCCTTTTATATATTTGAACATGGCTATCATATCACCCCTTAACCTCCTCTTCTCCAGGCTAAACATGCCCAGCTCCCTTAGCCGTTCCTCATAAGGCATTGATTCCAGGCCTTTGACCATTTTGGTTGCCCTCCTCTGGACACGTTCCAGTTTGTCAGTGTCATTCTTGAACTGTGGTGCCCAGAACTGGACACAGTACTCCAGGTGAGGTCTGACCAGAGCAGAATACAGTGGCACTATTACTTCCCTTGATCTAGATGCTATACTCCTATTGATGCAGCCCAGAATTGCATTGGCTTTTTTAGCTGCCGCGTCACACTGTTGGCTCATGTCAAGTTTGTGGTCAACCAAGACTCCTAGATCCTTTTCACATGTACTGCTCTCAAGCCAGGTGTCCCCCATCTTGTATTTGTGCCTCTCATTTTTTTTGCCCAAGTGCAATACTTTACATTTCTCCCTGTTAGAGGCTGTGCACAGGTAAACAAGAAGCCAGAACAGCCAGCGGGAACTCTGTGATCCCGCTCGCTGTCCTAGCTTCCTCTTTGGCCGTGGGAAAGCCTTCATCCCCTGCCTGGGAGAGGCTGTGCACGGCTTAGGCTCCCCTAAGAGCCACGCTCCCTTTAAAGAGCGCATGGAGCTTTTTCTCCTCAGGAAAAGCCCCCAAGAGCAGCACACACGCTCCATGCGGCTCTTTAAAGGGAGCGCTGACAGAGCTGCATTCGCTGCATAAGACGCACACACATTTCCCCTTACTTTTTAGGAGGGGAAAAGTGTGTCTTATAGAGTGAAAAATACGGTAGTTCAAGAGGACATTTTGCTCTGCAAATGTACGGTTGTTCCGTACAGTTCTGTTGATAGTTTTGGTTACCTTCTGCCAAAAGTATCTGAAGAAGTGTGCAATGCACACAGAAGCTCATACCAATAACAAACTTAGTTGGTCTCTAAGGTGCTACTGGAAGGAATTTTTTTGTTTCGACTACGGCAGACCAACACGGCTACCTACCTGTAACTAGAACTTCTGCCAAAAATCTTTCAATATAGAACAATGAAAAAACTTATGTTTTAGAGAAGCATTGTCCCTATTGCATCTCCAACAGTTAGATACCACAGATAGCCCTTTTTTAAAGAAACGTAATGGGGTCCAGGATATTGTAAATATTATTTCTTGTTGTATGAGCCTGCAAGCACTTCTTAAGCTTGAGATGACTATTGCACAGGAAGGTTTTATCTCCCCTGCTAGTCAAAAATATGGATTCAGTCTTAGGCTGGTTGTTTTGATTTCTTTAAGGCTCTAATGCCGCTGTGAGATACTTGGACCTCCGCTTGGTTGTTGAAAAAGCTGCATACAAATATTACATAATATAACCTATTCATTTCGGGATGTGTGACCCTCCAAGTGTGGTTACACTCCAAACCCTATCGGCTTTGACCCTTAAGACCCCTGGGGATTGTTTTCCAACGAGGCAACTTGCATACCTTCCAACTTTTCCCCATTCAAAACCGGGACGCTCATCTTCCGGGACGCATTCCCAAGCGAGTCATGTGACTTGTGCCTTGCTCTCACGCTAGATCACAGCACCCAAAATGGCTGCCGAGATCTCGTGAGAAAAAACAGGATATCCTGTTTTCCCCCAGGGCACTTGGAAGGTATAAAGTTGGTGGGCATCGCTGTTTCTTGTGGCAATGAGTTCCTTAGTTTAACAATGCAAGATGTGAAGAAAGCCTTTCTTTGGTCTGTTCAGCCGCCTCCCTTTGCACAAGACCTTGGACAGCAGCTGCCAGCCAGAGTTGGCAGCACTATGGTCTGACTCTGCATACAAGGAAGCTTTGCTCAAGGGCAGATAATCCTCCTCCTTTGTAATGGCATGCCTCTCCCTTGACAAGTTCTCTTTCTGCATCTCCTCCTCAGGCTGTTTGAGGCCAAAATGAAGGGCTTCCTGGACAAACCTTACTCCTGGGAGAAGCTTGAGGACATCCGCAAGGTCTTCTGGTTCTACCACACCCCTCGAACAGGTCAGTGATGGCTGAGGAAGCTGCCTCTCTTCAAAGCAAACCCTTTCCGTGAGAGGTCCAGAGCGTGGCAATAGAGAACGGGCCTTTTCGGTGGTGGCTCCCCATTTGTGGAATGCTCTCCCCAGGACGGCTCGCCTGGCACTATCATTGATGAGCTTTAGTAGAGTGACTCGGAAACGACAATTAATCCAGAATGTGGCAGCTGGACTGGTGACTGGATGTGGCTGCTGGCACCACATACAACACCGGTCCTAAGAGATCTATATTGGCTCCCAGTACGTTTCCGAGCACAATTCAGTGTGTTGGGGCTGACCTTGAAAGCCCTAAATGGCCTTGGCCCAGTATACCTGAAGGAGCGCCTCCACCCCTATCGTTCAGCCCCCTAAGGTCCAACTCCGAGGGCCTTCTGGCGGTTCCCTCCCTGCGAGAAGTGAGGTTACAGGGAACCAGGCAGAGGGCCTTCTCGGTGGTGGCACCCGCCCTGTGGAACGTCCTCCCATCAGATGTCAAGGAGATAAACAATTATACAACCTTCCATAGACATCTGAAGGCAGCCCTGTTTAGGGAAGTTTCTATTGTCAGATGTTTTTCTGTGTTTTTGTCTTCTGTTGGAAACCGTCCAGAATGAGCAGCTTGTCGTTATTATTATTATTATTATTATTGGCAAAAGCGCTTCTTTTCCAGCAGGCTTTCAATGATCTATGTCTCTCCTTCTTCCCTTCTCCAGAGTATGTGTTCAAGCACTGGAAAGATGACGATTTCTTCGGCTACCAGTATCTGAATGGAATCAACCCTGTGTTGATCCGGAAATGCACCAAGATCCCGGAAAATTTCCCTGTGACCCAGGAGATGGTGGCTGGGCCTTTGGGAGAACACACTACCCTCAAGGAAGAGTTGGAGGTTGTTCATTGCTCTCCTTCTCATTGGCTGTATCTCAAAGCCACATTCGTGTGTGTGTGTGTGTGTGTGTGTGTGTGTCCTTCTCGATACATTGTTGTTGTTTAGTCGTTTAGTCGTGTCCAACTCTTCATGACCCCCTGGACCAGAGCACACCGGGCCCTCCTGTCTTCCACTGCCTCCCGCAGTTTGGTCAGACTCATGCTGGCAGCTTTGAGAACACTGTCCAACCATCTCGTCCTTTGTCATCCCCTTCTCCTTGTGCCCTCCATCTTTCCCAACATCAGGGTCTTTTCTAGGGAGTCTTCTCTTCTCATGAGGTGGCCAAAGCATTGGAGCCTCAGCTTCAGGATCTGTCCTTCCAGTGACCCCTCAGGGCTGATTTCCTTCAGAATGGAGAGGTTTGATCTTCTTGCAGTCCATGGGACTCTCAAGAGTCTCCTCCAGCACCAGAATTCAAAAGCATCAATTCTTCGGCGATCAGCCTTCTTGATGGTCCAGCTCTCACTATGCATATATATGTCTAAAATATCCATAGCCCACCTCTCTAGTAATAGTATCCAAGGCAGTTAACCAAAATAGCTCTAAAGAACCAAAAATGCTGCCTTCATCAGAGGAGTATTGAAATATACTCAGAGTTGAGAGTGGATTTCATGCTCTTTATTCAGCTCATAGTGGTGAGGAGGAATGGAAGTTTCCCCAGAATGTCTGCATTATATACATTATTCACACAATGAGCCCCACCTGATTGGCTAATTCCGGGATTCACCTGTAGGTCAATCAGGTTGTGGATTCACTTCCACCTGAAGCTGGATTGGGTGGCTCCTGTGGACCAATCAAACTGCTGCATTCTGGACCCTGTTGTTCTAGGGCCAATCAGACTGCTGTTTCTGAATCCTATTGTTCTAGGGCCAATCAGACTGCTGCATTCTGAATCCTATTGTTCTAGGGCCAATCAGACTGCTGCATTCTGAATCCTATTGTTCTAGGGCCAATCAGAATGCTGCATTCTGAATCCTATTGTTCTAGGACCAATCAGACTGCTGCATTCTGGACCCTATTGTTCTAGGACCAATCAGACTGCTGCATTCTGAATCCTGTTGTTCTAGGACCAATTAGACTGCTGCATTTTGGATCCTATTCAACTCAGTACATAACAAGTATGATGGCAACTTTAGTCCAAAATGCTGGGCTGGGCTGACATCAGATGGGATTCAAACTTTCCTCCCTTCTCCAACCCGCTCCAACTCTGTTTTTCAGAAAGGAACCATCTACCTAGCAGATTACAAGTTGCTGGAGGGTATTCCTACCATCCTGGTGAACGGCAAAGAGCAATACATTGCTGCCCCTCTGTGTTTGCTGCACCAAAAGCCTTCTGGAGAAGTCATTCCTATAGCCATCCAGGTAACAATTTAAAAAAGAAACAAAAAACAGGGAAAAATTCAGCAGAAGGATTCCAAACAAGCTAGGAGGTTCCCCTCACTTAAGGGAAGTCAAAAAGATATTCCATGAGATTGTTTTGATGAATGAATGACCACAAACTTGACATGAGCCAACAGTGTGAAGCAGCAGCTAAAAAAGCCAATGCAATTCTGGGCTGCATCAATAGGAGTATAGCATCTAGATCAAGGGAAGTAATAGTGCCACTGTATTCTGCTCTGGTCAGACCTCACCTGGAGTACTGTGTCCAGTTCTGGGCACCACAGTTCAAGAAGGACACTGACAAACTGGAACGTGTCCAGAGGAGGGCAACCAAAATGGTTAAAGGCCTGGAAACGATGCCTTATGAGGAACGGCTAAGGGAGCTGGGCATGTTTAGCCTGGAGAAGAGGAGGTTAAGGGGTGATATGATAGCCATGTTCAAATATATAAAAGGATGTCACATAGAGGAGGGAGAAAGGTTGTTTTCTGCTGCTCCAGAGAAGCGGACACGGAGCAATGGATCCGAACTACAAGAAAGAAGATTCCACCTAAACATTAGGAAGAACTTCCTGACAGTGAGAGCTGTTCGACAGTGGAATTTGCTGCCCAGGAGTGTGGTGGAGTCTCCTTCTTTGGAGGTCTTTAAGCAGAGGCTTGACAACCATATGTCAGGAGTGCTCTGATGGTGTTTCCTGCTTGGCAGGGGGTTGGACTCGATGGCCCTTGTGGTCTCTTCCAACTCTATGATTCTATGATTCTAATATATGGCAAAATATTGCTCCAAAAAAGATACGCTAATATGCCCAGATTAAAATGTGAAGTACTGGGTGGAAGAAAAATTAGTAAGGAAAGATAATAAGAATATACAGATGGTTTGAGAAGATTGTAGAATGCAAAGATTATTGTATAGTGTGGAGGAAATCGAGTGGGGGCGGAGGGAAGTGGGAGGAAGGAGAAAAGAATAATATGATGGATTGAGGAAATATAAATGTAAATATATGGGGGGATGGGGAGGAAATGGAGTTGGTTTTGGAACATCTGTATTGTAATGTGATATGTGAAAACCAATAGATAGATAGATCCGCAAGGTCTGAGGGACAGTGGACTGGCCCCCTGCCGAAAAAGCTTACAGACCCCTGTTCTAGACAGTCTGAAAACACCTTCCTTTGCCGTTGCATCTTTTATTCCATTGTGATTCCCTCTTCCAGTTAAGCCAGCGCCCAGGTCCCCTAAGTCCCATTTTCTTGCCCACCGACGAAGAGTGGATCTGGACCTTAGCCAAGACCTGGGTGCGAAACTCCGAATTCCACATCCACGAGGTGAACACCCACCTGCTCCGTGGACACCTGATGGCGGAAGTCTTTGCGGTGTCGACACTGAGGCAGCTGCCCATGTGCCACCCCATATACAAGGTGAGAGAGCCCAGAGGGGGTTCAGTTTGGGGCATTTAGCGGTAAGTACAGGGAGGGATATAGGGACGCAGGTGGCGCTGTGGGTTAAGCCACAGAGCCTAGGGGCTTGCCGATCAGAAGGTTGGCGGTTCGAATCCCCGTGACGGGGTGAGCGCCTGTTGCTCGGTCCCTGCTCCTGCCAACCTAGCAGTTCGAAAGCACACCAGTGCAAGTAGATAAATAGGTACCGCTCTGGTGGGAAGGTAAACTGTGTTTCCGTGCGCTGCTCTGGTTCGCCAGAAGCGGCTTAGTCATGCTGGCCACCTGACCCGGAAGCTGTACGCCGGCTCCCTCGGCCAGTAAAGCAAGATGAGCGCCGCAACCCCAGAGTCGGTCACACCGGACCTAATGGCCAGGGGTCCCTTTACCTTTATGGGGAGGGATGTTTTCGGCATCCTCTTTTATCTTTTGAAGGAAACAAACCGCGTCTGGGGGAAAAGGCTGCCTCTCTCAGAGGAGGCAGCGATGCCACCAGACTGGATGGCTTTGAAAGAAAACTTTGCCCCCTCTTATAAAAAAATAATAATAACTTGTGGGTATCTCGTGAAGCTGAAAGTTAGAAGATTGGGGACATGTAAAAGGAAGTCCTGCTTGATGCAGTGAATATTTTTTTTTTCTAAGATATTTATTGAAATTTTCAAAGTGTTACCAAATAAAATAAAAACAGTAGAAAATACAAAATAAAAATAATTAACAAAGTAGAAAAAGAAAAAAACAAACCCCTTCCAACCGTATGAATACAAATTCAAAAATAAGAAAAAGTGACAAAAAGAAAAAAAATACAAAAATACATCACACACAATTAAAAAACATTTAAAAACAAATTCATTATTCTCATATCCTCAACTGTGATTGCCTTCTTTCTTTGACCTCCTCCTCCTCCCTTTCTTTGTATCCTAGTTATTAATTATCCCAGCAAATCCTTTCCATATTTCATAATATTCTGTCATTACATTACCCTAAACTGTTTTAATCTTATCTTTCTATAATAAAATAAACCTTAAAGCTTAAAACTTAAATCTTGTCCTTACCAACTTCTCATAACCATAATATTCTTTCATAATTCTTTAAACATCTTTACTAAAGCCAAGTAATTTCATTCCAACATTTTTCTAACATTCATCAATTTTATAAAACAGTTCTAATGGTAGAAAAAAGAAATACAAACAAATCCAATCTTCATCCAACGTCCCTTCCTCCTGGTTCCGGGTTTTGTCAGTCCTTATTATCCCGTCAATCTAGCCCATTAACCTGGCAGCCTTATATCCGAGGCCCTCAAGTCTCTTCCATGTCCCTTCCGCAGCTCTTCTTCATATTTGTAACTGTATTTTCCCTTGTCTCCTGCTCGTGGTAACTCCAGCTTGGCAATATTTTTAACCCTTCTCGACAGATCAGCCCCTTTTCCATATTCAACACTGAATTCCATATGGTATTTAAAAGCATGTTTCAAAGACCCTCCGAAATTAAGAGCCCCCACAATCCCAAACATCTCATGGCCCATTGTCAGATTTGAAAAGTCCAAACATCCCAGCATAGGGGGGTCAATCCAGCCCCCCATTTCCAAGCCAAACCAAACTTTTTCTTTCCAAATCTGGCTTTTCCCAAGTTCATTTGTCAAATCCGAAAACTCATATTCCTGTTGGGCCTGTTCTGTCAGGACACACTCCTGATTTAATTCCTGAGTGGGCTCCACATATTTTCCCACTGTCTGTTCAAAATTTCCCACTGCCTGTTCAAAATTTCTAGTCGAAGTCGCCATCCAATTCACCTTTTCATGTAATTGTTCCAGTAGGGCATTTGTTTTATAGAAAGCACACAACAAAGCTTCTGAATACATTGTCCTGCAAGGTCAAATGCCTGTTCCCACGATTGTTATCTGTAACAGCTGCCGGCTCCCTGGAGTTGGTTACAGTTACACAGTCTCCCTCTAGGGGGAAAACTTCTATTTGTTCTTGCAACAAAGTTTCCCTTTTTGAGATACTTTGTCAATATTTGTTGCTTAAAGATGCGAAGGGAAGCAGTGGAATCGCTATGTTTCTCTTCTTTTAGCTATCTGTCAAAATGCTTGTCTCTGGTCAATGAACTTCAAACGTCAGTCCTGACACCCCGCTCCAGGATCAGGACGGAGGAAAGTTACTTTACTTTAAACTCACTTTAAACAGTCCGGAAAAGATCCCCCTCCTTCTGCTGTCGAAGGGGGGTTCCACAATTTTAAATGATGAAATCCAATCCTTTAAAGGAGATTTTCTAAGCTCTAGTTTACGTTGTCTTTGCTTTATTCTGTTTACAGAAGAACGGAAGGCTGATTTCCTGTTTAGACCTTCCCGTTCCGTACCAAATTAAAATAGGTTTTTAAAATCCAATTCCTTTCTGCTCGCAAGTCCTTATCTAATGTCCAGTTGTTCAGAGTCTAAGTACTCACGGGTGCTTATTTTAGAGTCCAAATTGTCCCAGGAAAAAGGCAGCGCTCTCCGGCAACGGCTGTGCGGCTTCACTCCACGAAAATAGCAATTGACTCACAGCACCGCGCCACTTCCCCTCTTCACTTTGGAGCCCGTTAGTGGGTTCCTTAGCGAGTTGGGGGCGCTAAAGGTGCCCGCCGAGTCCCATGGTCACAGGCTTCATCCGCCTGTGATTTTTAAAAGGGTCCCCGCTTCGCCGTAGCGGAGAAGACCCGTTTCCCGCGGAGCTAGTCCCTCCTGTTCAGAGGGAGTCCGCCATTGCCGATGGCGCCACCCTGGAAGTCCGATGCGGTGAATAGTTAAACTGTGGAACTTGCTCTTGCAGGAGGTAGTTAAGGCCAACAATCTAAAAGATAAAGGTAAAGGGACCCCTGACCATTAGGTCCAGTCGTGGCCGACTCTGGGGTTGCAGCGCTCATCTCGCTTTATTGGCCAAGGGAGCTGGCGTACAGCTTCCGGGTCATGTGGCCAGCATGACTAAGCCGCTTCTGGTGAACCAGAGCAGCGCACAGAAACACCGTTTACCTCCCCGCCAGAGCGGTACCTATTTATCTACTTGCACTTTGATGTGCTTTCGAACTGCTAGGTTGACAGGAGCAGGGACCGAGCAACGGGAGCTCACCCCGTCGCGGGGATTCGAACCACTGACCTTCTGATTGGCAAGTCCTAGGCTCTGTGGTTTAACCCACGGCGCCACCCGTGTCCCAACAATCTAGAAGGCTTTAAAAGAGGACCAGGCAAATTCATGGAGGGGGAGAGGGCTATTGTCAGGGATTGGGCTTGAGAGGGGTGGGGTGGAGGGGCTGCGAAGGGGAGAATCGGGGAGAACATGCTATGACTTCAGTTACAAGACCTTTGTCTCTGTGTACTTTGAGACATCCCCCCCAACCTTACACATGTTCCCTTTCCGCCCCCCCCTCCAGCTTTTGATTCCTCACCTCCGTTATTCCATCCATATCAATGTGCTGGCCAGAACCTACCTTATCAGCCAAGGAGGTACCTTTGACAAGGTAAGTGGGAGACTCGTGGGACGCCCTTGGAGGAATGCGTGGTGACCCCACCGTGGAATGCCTTCCGCTCTGACCCAGCTCTTCAGGCCCAAGGACACATGGTGATCTCTGTTCTTCCACATCCTACCCATTTGACCGCAGGGTGATTCGCAGCTGACTTGGGGAGTCTTTTCTGGGGGTGCCTCTCTGTTTTGCAGGGCTCTGAGCGCAGTCTTCTGTTTTGGAAGTGCCCTGCTTTTGAAGGCTGCCCAGTTTGGTTTAAGGATGCAGAACCCAAAGGAGGAGATTCAGTGCGGAGATTTAAGGTTTCCTCCCAAGGGAGCAGGTTGAGCTACAGGCCTCCCTGCCAGATTTAAATGCATTGGGGATAGATCCCAGGTTAGTCTTACTCAGAAGCCGATAGATGTAGCTAACTTAAGCCTGTTCGTTTCAATGGATGTGCTCTGAGTACAAGTTAACAGGGTACAACCCAATTTAAATTATAGCAATTATTTCCTCTCTCTTTTTTGTAAAGTACCGTATTTTTCGCTCCATAGGGCGCACCGGACTATAGGGCGCACCTAGTTTTTAGGGGGGAAAATAAAGAGGAAAAAAATATCCCGCTGGCTGTCTTGGCTTCCTCTTTAGCCGCGTGCAACCTCTTCAGCCGGGAGAGGCTGCGCGCGGCTTTGGCAGAAGCCAAGATAGCGAGCGGGATGGATCCCGCTCGCTGTCTTGGCTTCGTTTTTAGCCGCGGGGCTGCGGCGGGGGAAGCGGCAGCAAGGTCTGGGAGCGGCAGCAAGGTTGCGCGCAGCCTTGCCGCCGCTCCCGGAGCTTGCGGATAGCTGCCTGAAGCCCAGGGAGCGCAGCGGGAGTTGGCGCTGCGCTCCCCGGGCTTCAGGCTGCAGGCTGCTATCCGCAAGCCTTCAGAGTACGAGGGAACTCCTGCTGCGCTCCGAAGGCTTGCAGATAGCTGCCTGAAGCCTGGAGACCGAGAGGGGGCGGCGTGGAGGGAGCGCTCCCTTTGCGCTTCGGAGGCTTCCCCTTGCTATCGCTGAAGCCAAGGAGCCTGCATTCGCTCCATAGGTCACACACACATTTCCCCCTTCGTTTTTGGAGGGGGAAAAGTACGTCCTATAGAGCGAAATTTTTTTAGTTTTTATTTGGTTTTTTAAAAATATAAACTTATAACAAAATCAATTAAAAATCCGTATAAAGAGATTACTCTGAATCTCACGACTCCCCCCCCCCCATCCCCTCCATGGGTCCTAATATCAATCAGTCCATAATACACAATTTTTTATCCATCTAAATTGTCCATAGTTTTTGTTACATTTGTTGTCGTTGCTTAGTCGTGTCCGACTCTTTGTGACCCCATGGACCAGAGCACGCCAGGCACTCCTGTCTTCCACTGCCTCCTGCAGTTACATTACAAGTGTGATTAAAATCCTGCTAATGTTTTAATCTGTTTGCAATGGTCTCCTGAATAAATTATTTTTAAAATCCCCTTCTTTTTTAAAGTTCTTGTCCTCTTGGTTCCCGAGATTCCCAGTTAATTTTGCCATTTCAGCGTAATCCATCAACTTGGTCTGCCATTCTTCCCTGGTCGAGATTGTTTCTTCCTTCCATCTCTGGGCAAATAACATCCGTGCGGCTGTTGTCACATACGTGAACAGTCTTTTCTGGTCCTTTGGGATCTCGGTACCTATAATTCCTAATAAGAAAGCTTCTGTTTTGTTTTTTTAAGCAAATGTTATTTTAAACATTTCTTTCATTTCATTATATATCATCTCCCAGAAAGTTTTTTTTTTTGTTTTAATGATATTTATTAGGGTTTCAAAAAAAGGTTACATAGATAAGAAAAAGAAAAATAGAGAAAAGAAAAGAAAAATACAAAATACAAAAAAAAACAATTAAAAACAATTCCATCTTTTCATCACTTATCTTTCATTTACTTGTTTCCCGGACCTCCTCATGCCACCCTTTTTTGTATTCCAGTTCAATTTATTAGTTCAGCAATTCCTTTCCCTCCTTATTTTATCCTGATCTTTAATCTTAATATATTATAGCATTAAGTTTTGACCTATTGAAAATCCAATTTTTCCATATTCTTTTGAAAGTTTTTGTTACCTGACACCTCCACCACATATGACAACAAGCACCTAAATTATAGCAATTGTTTCCAAGTCTATACTTGTAGATCAGCACTGGCAAGTGTTAGATTATACACGGGGCTGCCTCTGAAGACAGTTTGGAAACTTCAGCTGGGGCAGAATTCGATGTGCCTCATTTTGGAGTGTGCTGAGTGGTCTTCTCCCCTCCCCACCCGCTTTCTGCCGCAGGCCATAGCGACCGGGCGCAGAGGGTTAGCTGTGCTTCTTAAAAAGTCCCTGGACAACCTGACCTACACGGATCTGTGCCTCCCTGAGGATATTGAGGCCCGAGGAGTCGGCTCGCTTGCCGATTACTACTACAGGGACGACGGGCTGAAGATATGGGATGCCATCGAGAGGTAAGAGAAACAGGATTCGCTGGGTGCTTTCAGTGGAATGGCTGGAGTCTTCTTCAAACATCAGCCCCATGCCCACCAGTTCCTCGCACGGCACGCCTGATCTCAAACTCTGCTCCCAGTTTCCAGAGTGGTTTGCTGCCATGTATGGGGTGGGGAGAGCTGCTACTCAAGAGCAAGGCATCAAAGCACATGTAGTGCACAGACACGAATCCTGGGGATGGTAATTCCCACCAAGACCGTATAACAGCAGTCCTGAAAGACCTACATTGGCTCCCAGTACATTTCCGAGCACAATTCAAAGTGTTGGTGCTGACCTTGAAAGCCCTAAACGGCCTCGGCCCAGTATACCTGAAAGAGCGTCTCCACCCCCATCATTCAGCCCGGACACCGAGGTCCAGCTCCAAGGGCCTTCTGGCAGTTCCCTCCCTGTGAGAAGTGAGGTTACAGGGAACCAGGCAGAGGGCCTTCTTGGTGGTGGCGCCCACCCTGTGGAACGCTCAGATGTCAGGAAATAAACTTTTTAGAAGTCATCTGAAGGCAGCCACGTTTAGGGAAGTTTTGTATGTTTGATGTTTTAATATTTTGTTGGGAGCCGCCCAGAGTGGCTGGGAAAATTGTTGTTGCTGTTGTTATTGTTCACGCCTCACAGAGCTACAATTCTCAGCACCCTTAAGCTCCCAGGATTATTTGTGGGATCCCGTGAACTTTAAATGTGCTTTAAATGTGTGGTGTGCGCACAGCCTGCCTGGGGAGCCGGCCTAACTTCTCATTTTCCCTACAGCTTTGTCTCTGGCATCGTGGAACTGTACTACAAAAGCAACTTGTCTGTCCAGAGAGATTACGAGCTTCAGGCCTGGATCTGCGACATCTTCACAAAGGGCTTTCTGTCCAAGCGGTCATCAGGTACTCCGCCAAACCCATTTCCTGCTGCTTCCCTGTTCTGCTCGCTGTTTTCCTTCCTTCGGGACTTGTTTAGACAGCCCGTCACACTTTGGGAAGCCTATAAAAAGTATCCGCTTCCCCACAGGCCCCTTAACTTGGTGGAGGAACACGAAATGTAACGCCGCCATGCGGCTAACAATACCTCTGGTGTGCAGCCAGCTGCGATGCACTATTTCATGGTATCATAGAATTGTTGAGTTGGAAGGGACACCCAGGGTCATCTAGTCCAACCCGCAGGAATGTGCATTTAACATGAACATCTGTTTTATTATGCTCTTCAGCTATGTCTGAGCCCCAACGCAAGTCACAGTGTGAAAACGCACGAAGGAAGCTGCAGTTAGATTGGGGGTACTTGAAGGGTGTTGCCATAAAAAAATTAAGGTCTTATATATAATAAATGTTCATAAATGTTCCAAGCAAACACATACATAAATATATAAACCACATGTCTGAAGCAGCACAGGAAGACAGTCCTGAAACCATTTTGACTCCCCAACTGACCAAATGATTTCTCTGCAAGGTCAAGGAAAATGGAAAAGCCTCCCCACTGTTTTTTCATTCACAAATCCTGACTTAAGGGTATGTCTGTGTATGAATAGGGTGAGCCTGTGACCTGGCTCAGGAACTAAGTATTTGTCATTACAAAAGACTGGCCAGGCTCCCCAGGGTATCCAACCAAGTAAGCATTAACAGGTAACCTGCCAGACAGGAGATAAACAACACACTCAGATTTCTGTTGTAGACCACCTTTTCTGTGATGTAGGGATGATGTTTCTGGGGGTGGTCTTGGACTCCAAGGCTGGCAATTTAAAATGTCTATATAAGGGCGGGCACACCTGGGTTCGGAATCCTCCTCCTTTCCTGTGTGCGAGGGGATCACCCTGTTGCAACAGATCAATAAAGATCAGGCTTACAAACTGCTTTGCTTCTCAATATTCTCTGGTCGGCCTCTGTTATTTTCTCCGACTGATGGAGAACCTACAAATGACATTATAAGGGCTCTTGTGTCCCCCATAAGGGAATAAGGGCAGAATTTTGTTTAATACAGTGTGTAACAGCAGAGTCTCCAGACCCCCAGCAGTTGAAGTTGTAGATCAGGTTCCTAGGCCCTTTCCTCCAGTTGATGGGGGCAGGAGGAGAAGCTGAGGGACTTGGAGTGACGAGATTTTTGTTTGGGGGGGGGCAGCCAAATGTTTTGTTGTTTTTAAAGGAAATCAAAGTTGTTGAGCTTTCCCCCTTGGATGGAAGCCAGGGAGCCCAACACTAGATGGCGCCAGAGACAAAAGCAGGCGGATTCTAGTTTTGTCTCTGTCCTTTTCCCTACTGAAGTTCTATAACGCCAACAGTGCTGGAGTGGTCTGGGGTCACGAGGAAAGGGAGGAAGCCCCGATCCTATTTCTGCTTTAGGGTCCCTGTCTCCAGCCAACCTGAATAAAATATTGGGGGTGGGGGGTGGGCAGGCAAGCATCACCCCATATAATTGATCACAAGATCTCTCTCGCTCTCTTTCCCTCTCAAACACACACACACACACACACACACACACACACAAACAAACACCTCCCATTTGTGTGTTTTTTATAATAATTTTTACTGCGTTTTCAATTTTATCATAATCACAGTTTCCGTACATAATTCAATAAACTCAAACATTGCTCTAACCAAGCACCGACCTCCTCCCACCCCTCTTTCTGACTTCCATACATAATTACGATATTCTTAGCATTTCTATCACCACTTTTTTTTAACCTTCTCTCTTACTTTTGTATTTCCCCTCATTACATGTAAATCCTTATATTCTCATTACAAAACATTTCAACTCAAACCTACAAACGTTTTCAGATGTTTACAATGTTCTTTCATATAGAACATAAATTTGCTCCAGTCCTTTTGAAACAGTTTGTCACGCTGATTCCGGATCTTCCCCGTTCAGCTTTGCTAACTCTGCCACACACACACCCCATTTGAATGGCAACGGCCATCAACTTTGGGGCCGCCCGACCTCTGTTTATAAACCTCCAACGAAGGAGGGAACCCTCCTTCTGGGGGGGGTCCGCCCCACTGTCAAAATCCAACATGCATTGTAAAGCGCCGGTCTTCAACTGGTGGGTCAGGACCTGCAAGTGAGTTGCTGGGGGTTGCAAGAGGAGCACAACTCCCCTGCAGAAATATGGTACAAGATTAAGGAACGGGTCCCAAGAACAAAAAGTTATGGAAAAATGGGATAGATATATGTTCAAAAATATAGTAAAGGTTTGCTGTCTATGCTAGCGTTCGATCGGCGTTGGAGAGAAATTGAGTTGAGAAACGAGATCAAGGGTACATATTGATATAGGAATGCATTAGATAAAATGTAAAGAAATATACAATAATAAGAGTACATTCATTTGAGAGAAAAAAGAATATACGAGATTGACAGGAAGTCCATAGTGTTGGTACAAATATTATTTTGAAATAGCTTTATGTCTTTGTTTTTTCTTTTTTCTTTCTTTAGGTACATAAATTCGACATACCATATTTTTCGCTCTATAAGACGCACCCGACCATAAGATGCACCTAGTTTTAGAGGAGGAGAACAAGGAAAAAAATATTCTCTCCCTCTCTGCGCAGTGCCTCTCCAGCGAAGCAAAGTCACAACAGCAAGAGAGATCGCTGTGCAGCGAAAGCACCGATCCCTCTTGCTCTCCTGGCTTCTGGGATAGCTGCGCAGCCTGCATTCGCTCCATAAGACGCACACACATTTCCCCTTACTTTTTAGGAGGGGGAAAGTGCGTCTTTATAGAGCAAAAAATACGGTATCAACTTTGTATACATGTTGGAAATTATACGATAACATGCCCTGTAATGGAATATGATAATGTATACATATGTGACATAAGAACATTAATAAAAAAAGGAAAAAAAGGAACTGGGACCCAAGATGCATGGTTGGGTTAAATCCCAGACTGGTGGGTTTGAGCAAAAGATGGCCGCAGCTCGGACTCGCTGGCTCTCACGGTCCCCTTCCAACACTACAACTCTATGATTCTCTGTTTGGTTGAAGATGCCTGTTGTAAAGGACTTGTCCTCTCGCTTCCCTGCAGGCATCCCTTCCTCCATCCGCTCTGTTCCGGAACTCATCAAGTTTCTGACCATGGCGATCTTCACGTGCTCAGCCCATCACGCAGCCGTAAACAGTGGGCAGGTAAGTGATTCTGCCCTCCTTCCTTGCCTGAGGACGGAGTATCTGTGTCAGGGATGTCTGAAGGCGCTGATTCCCATTCTGAAACACGCTCGTCTCTTTTTTTGGTTTCACAAGTTCATTCACACAAATAAAACTCTTAGAAATATTAGAATTGAACACGAGATTCTTCCGAAACTTTGGACTTCCCTCCGCGGGTTCTTTAAATAACTTTGTTGTTTAGTCATGTCCGACTCTTAGTGACCCCATGGGCCAGAGCACGCCAGGCACTCCTGTCTTCCACTGCCTCCCGCAGTTTGGTCAGACTCATGCTGGTAGCTTCGAGAACACTGTCCCACCATCTCGTCCTCTGTCGTCCCCTTCTCCTTGTGCCCTCCATTTTTCCCAACACCAGGGTCTTTTCCAGGGAGTCTTATCTTCTCATGAGGTGGCCAAAGATCTGGAGCCTCAGCTTCAGGATCTGTCCTGCCAGTGAGCACTGATTTCCTTCAGAATTGAGAGGTTGGATCTTCTTGCAGTCCATGGGACTCTCAAGAGTCTCCTCCAGCACCAGAATTCAAAAGCATCAATTCTTCAGCAATCGGCCTTCTTTATGGTCCAGCTCTCACTTCCATACATCACTACTGGGAATACCATGGCTTTAACTATACGGACCTTTGTTGGCAAAGATAAATAACTTTATCAACTGCATATTATAAGTTGATCCAAATTACAACCCTCCATTCTATCCAAAGTCTTTGTGTCATTGCAAGTTATTTAAAGCCCACCAGAGAGTTCATGTGTTTATAGTGTTCTTTTAAGTACATTCTATGTTTGCCCCATTCTGTACTGAAGTTCTATCTTCCTGATTTCTGATTTTCCCGGTCAGTCTTCCCATCTCTGCATTTTCCAATGATTTCATCTGCCAGTCCTCCCTCGTAGCTATCTTCTCATCTTTCCAGCTCCGAAATGTGCTTGTCACAGCGGTGCTTCTGTTCCACTGCAGTTCGACTTTTGCAAAATGCAAAAAAATAATAATAATTGTCTGGCTGCCTGCCTGCCTGCCAAAAAAGATCCTTACTGATCTTTGGGGATAGTAAAACGAAACAACAACCGAAAGGAGTGTTATGTTCTTCTGCTTTTAAATCAATAGATATGTGCTAAGTTTGCAGACTCTGTTTAACTTTCTTCTGTCCTCCCCTGGGCTGCAGTTTGAAATGGGTGCCTTCATGCCCAACTTGCCATCGTCCATGAGGAAACCGCCGCCGGATGTTAAAGCCCCAGTGACGCTTAAGGAGTACCTGGACATCATCCCCGAGATGAACACCACCAGCCAAGTCCTCGCCGTCATCTGGGTCTTGCGGAACGAGGATTTTGACATGGTAAGAATGTCCAGAATGCGGCAGCCAGACTGGTGACTGGGAGTGGCCACCGGGACCACATAACACCGGTCCTGAGAGATCTGCATTGGCTCCCAGTACGTTTCCGAGCACAATTCAAAGTGTTGGTGCTGAGCTTGAAAGCCCTAAACGGCCTCAAAGGCCCAGTAGACCTGAAGGAGAGTCTCCACCCCCATCGTTCAGCCCGGACACTGAGGTCCAGCTCCGAGGGCCTTCTGGCAGTTCCCTCATTGCGAGAAGTGAGGTTACAGGGAACCAGACAGAGGGCCTTCTTGGTAGTGGCGCCCGCCCTGTGGAACGCCCTCCCTTCAGATGTCAAAGAGATAAACAACTACCTGACATTCAGAAGACATCTTAAGGCAGCCCTGTTCAGGGAAGTTTTTAATGTGTGACATTTTAGTGTATTTTTGGTCTCTGTGGAAGCCGCCCAGAGTGGCTGGGGAAACCCAGCCAGATGGGCGGGGTACAAATAATAAATTAGTAGTAGTAGTAGTAGTAGTAGTAAGAAAGGAGGACCTGGGAGAGACCTGGGTCCATATCCCCACTCAGCCACAAAGTTACTGGTTGACTCTGCTGCCTCTCAGCCTAAGCCACCAGGTCAGCAATAAACCACATGACACCAGTGAAGTGAGCTCACTCAAAGCTCAGGAGCCCAGGCCTAGTGAGCCCAGCAACTCTTTGCCCCAATGAGGCAGTTGCAAGGACTGAAGGTCTGCTCCTTCCCACAGCTCCCTAAGTCCCAAGAAACCTGAGACTGCTTCCCTTTGTCTGTCTCTGCTCCACCCTCTTCATCCACACCTTTTATTTTGACAAAGTAATAATCATAAATAAATAAGAATAAAAATATGCGCATCCCGCCACCGAGACCATTGTAACTATCCAACCTCCCAAAATTTCAACACCTCTTGCGATGGTTTGACCCCTTTCCGTTTTAACAGTACAAATTCTGCGAACATAATAGTAATAATAATAATAATAATTTATTTATACCTCGCCCATCTGGCTGGGTTTCCCCAGCCACTCTGGGTGGCTTCCAACCGAATATTAAAAACAATACAGCCTCAGACATTAAAAACTTCCCTAAACAGGGCTGCCTTCAGCTGTCTTTTAAAAAATAGTTGTTTACCTTCCATATCTCCTCAAAATCATTTCTCCTGCATATTCCCTGTCTTAATGGCACGTGTTAATTGATCATGAATGGCTATATCCCACACCTCTTTATACCATTCATTCAACGTTCATTCCCTACTGAAAAATCTACAACACTTAAAATATAAATCCGGGGACATTAAATGAAATCCGGGGACGGATTTTGTCCGGGGACAGATTTGTAAATCTGGGGACTGTCCCCGGGAAACGGGGACATCTGGTGTTCTTGTTGTTTAGTCATTTAGTCAAGAGTCGTGTCCGACTCTTCCTGACCCCCTGGACCAGAGCACGCCAGGCACTCCTGTCTTCCACTGCCTCCCGCAGTTTCGTCAAACTCATGCTGGTAGCTTCGAGAACACTGTCCCACCATCTCGCCCTCCGTCTTCCCCTTCTCCTCGTGCCCTCCATCTTTCCCAACATCAGGGTCTTTTCCAGGGAGTCTTGTCTTCTCATGAGGTGGCCAAAGTCTTGGAGCCTCAGCTTCACAATCTGTCCTGGACGTCTGGTAACAATAAACTAAACTGACCCTGCATCTCTCTCTCTGTTCCTGTTTGCAGAAACCTCTGGGGCAATACGACGACGAGCACTTTGTCGAGGAGGAACCGAAGCAGCTCATAACGGCTTTTCAAGAGCGCCTGGCGCACATTTCTGAGGAAATCAAGAGCAGGAACAAGTCGATGAAGCTTCCTTATACCTACCTCTGCCCAGACAACATAGAGAACAGCACGTGCATATAGAAGCCGGGTTTTGCAGCGCAGCGCATGCCTCCAGACCACACTGACCGTGCTGCGGTGCAGCCTTCCTCAACCCGGCGCCCTCCGGGTGCTTGATACTACAACTCCCACCAGCCCCCAGTCCAAAACATCTGGAGGGCGCCCGGTTGGGGTAAGGCTGCTTTTGAGTTTCTCTTTATGGAGAAACAGAAGCGCAGCCCCACATCGCTAGAGATTTCTTTGAGTGCAGCAGGCTAGGGCCTGCGATTGTAAACACAGGACAGGAATTCCGCAGCAGGCAGGCTCAGGCTGGCAGCATGCAACTTGAAGATTCACAGAACCCTTAAAAAAGAGATCCACAAAATATAAAGTGCCTGTTCTGATTGGGGCGGCATCGTCCCTGGAGGAGCAGGGGTGCAGTTTGGGTGTGCTCCTTAGAATCACAGAATTGTAGACAGATGACCTTTGGGACCTTTGACCTTTCTGTGCAGGACGTATCATGTTTAATCCCTAGCGTCTGACTGCTGCCAGCCAGTGTAGGTAAAAGTGATCTAGCTAGACCAACGGTCTGACTCTGTAGAAGGCAGCATCCTATGTTCTCATGCAACCTCAAGACTGGACTACTGTAATGCGCTCTGCGTGGGGCTACCCTTTAGGACTAGTCTGGAAATTGCAGCGGCTGCGCTCTTCCTTGCGGAGGCGAGGCCAGCTGAAGCTTCTCCTGCACGTTACATTTCCTGTATCATTTCACGCCCTTCCTTTCCCTCGTGCCATAAAGGGATCAGGGGTTTGGAGAGGGAAGAACCACTTGCAGACAGCCAGGTTGCCACTTGGCAGCGTGATTCGAACGCAGAGCTGTGTTTTCTTTCCATTTGGCAGTGGGGGGTGGTGGTTAGAGGTGTTTAGACAAAAATGCAAGGGGAGGTCATTAAAACACACACACAAACACACACAAAACAGCAACCCAAACCCATTTCAGGCTGTGAAAAGAAAATATGTCAATCCAGATAGCTTTGCGCCCTAGCGGATTTTTCAAACGAAAAACTCAATTTTCAAGCGTACATAGTTTAAACCCGTTGTGGGCTTCGTGTCCCTTTGATTCCAGTAAGACTTCAAAATATTATTATTTTTATTTGTTAAATATGTATATTGCCCTTCATCTGAAGACCACAGGGCAGTTCACAACATAAAAATCAAAAACAAAATGAAACAATAACTCCCCACCCAGTAAGAGCTTGTGGATGCTGGATGAACTGCTTTCAGGTCAAGGAACGCAGGTCAATGAACTGCTTTCAATTTACTGCTATCAGGTCAAGGCATAAAACGCTGCGTAAAAAAAATAAAAATTAAAAATTATTGCATTTTGGAAAATTATAGAGAAAGAATAAATTAAAAATTACACCTGAATACACAAAAAGAAAAGAAGAAAAGCAAAAAAAAAGACAATAATAAAGAGAAGAAAAAGAATTAATGACGTACACAAAATTGTTCAAAGGATACAAACCGTAATTTGAATATTCTACACAAAAGGCTCCCAGAAAGAAATGACATTCATATTTCTTTTCTTCCCTTACAATCACTTGCTTTCTGTTCCAGTAAACTTGTTTGAATCCCTGTTATGTTAGTTGACTTCCCTCTATCTCTTTGCGGCTTCGACACGTCTCATTGGTTACCAACAATCTGCATTCCTTTATTCAAATCGATTTCCCCCCATTATATCTGTGAAATTAACCTAAGCACAACCATTAATTTTGGAACCATATTTAGTCAGGTAGTTTTTGAAGCAAGCCCATACCATTTTTTTACCTTGTCGCCTGAGTGATGCTGTTTTTAAGCCTCTAGTAGGCATTTCTGACACCAACCAGCCAACTGTTGGTTGCTAGGCCAGGCCGTGTGTGTGTGTGTGTGTGTGTGTGTGTGTGTGTGTGTAGCCCTGCAGAAGTGTGGCTGGACCTGATGGGAGCAAGGCAGAGAGCTCAAGAGCTCTTTCTGCGTGAGGAAAACTCCATGCAGTTCTTTATAGGTAAAGGTAAAGGGACCCCTGACCATTAGGTCCAGTCGTGACCGGCTCTGGGGTTGCGGCGCTCATCTTGCTTTACTGGCTGAGGGAGCCGGTGTGCAGCTTCTGGGTCATGTGGCCAGCATGACTAAGCCGCTTCTGGCGAACCAGAGCAGCGCACAGGAACACCGTTTACCTTCCCGCTGGAGCGGTACCTATTTATCTACTTGCACTGGCGTGCTTTCGAACTACTAGGTTGGCAGGAGCAGGGACCGAGCAACGGGAGCTCACCCCATCGTGGGGATTCGAACCACCGACCTTCTGATCAGCAAGCCCTAGGCTCTGTGGTTTAACTCACAGCGCCACCCGCGTCCCTACAGTTCTTTCTAGTAAGTACCATAATAATGATGATTATTTGTCAGCAGTTTGCAGAAATCAATTATCTCTAAATGTGGTGGCCTTGAATTTACGAGTCCGGCATAAGTGCCATCCAGCAGAAGGGAGCATTTTGGAGACTCTGAAGCTGCCCCCTGGGCTCGCTCGTCAACAGTTCTGATAATCAAGATGATTCTCTTCCTTAATTTATAACTAGTATCTTGTCAACTTTGGCTCGAACTTGCGTTTGGCACTGCCTAGCAAAGTACCGTATTTTTCGCTCTATAGGACACCGGACCATAGGAGGGGGAGAACGGGGGGGGGGAAATACTCCCCCTCTCTGCTCAGCGCCCCTTCAGCGAAGCGGCAGGAGAAACAGAGCCCCTTCCATTTCTCATCCCGCTTCACTGAAGGGGCGCTGCGCAGAGGGGGGAAACTGCAGCGCCTCTCCAGCGAAGCAAAGCCTGGAGAGCAAGAGGGATCGGTGTGCACCAACCCCTCTCGCTCTCCAGGCTTCAGGCGGCTATCCGCAAGCCTTCCGAGCGCAGCGGGAATTCCTGCTGAGCTCCGAAGGCTTGCGGATAGCCGCCTGAAGCCCCCAGAGCGCAGCCTTTGAAGCCTCCGCAGAGCAGCCATCCCCAAGGTAGAACAGCGAGGCGGAGCACTGCACAGCGCTCCATCTCCCTGTTCTGGCTTTGGGCTTAGCCGCGCAGCCTGCATTCGCTCTATAGGATGCACACACATTTCCCCTTAATTTTTGGAGGGGGAAAAAGTGCGTCCTGTAGAGCGAAAAATACGGTACTCAGCCCAGCCCAGCTTCATGCAGCCTTACTGTTTAGGGGAGTTAGAACAATAAAACAATGAGATAAAACAATAGATTAAAACAACAAAACGAAGCGCTAAAAGGAGTTTAGAAATAAAATGGAAGAGAGGATGTCAAACTTGACATGAGCCAACAGTGTGATGCGGCAGCTAAAAAAGCCAATGCAATTCTGGGCTGCATCAATAGGAGTATAGCATCTAGATCAAGGGAAGTAATAGTGCCACTGTATTCTGCTCTGGTCAGACCTCACCTGGAGTACTGTGTCCAGTTCTGGGCACCACAGTTCAAGAAGGACACTGACAAACTGGAACATGTCCAGAGGAGGGCAACCAAAATGGTCAAAGGCCTGGAAACGATGCCTTATGAGGAACGGCTAAGGGAGCTGGGCATGTTTAGCCTGGAGAAGAGGAGGTTAAGGGGTGATATGATAGCCATGTTCAAATATATAAAAGGATGTCACATAGAGGAGGGAGAAAAGTTGTTTTCTGCTGCTCCAGAGAAGCGGACACGGAGCAATGGATCCAAACTACAAGAAAGAAGATTCCACCTAAACATTAGGAAGAACTTCCTGACAGTAAGAGCTGTTCGACAGTGGAATTTGCTGCCCAGGAGTGTGGTGGAGTCTCCTTCTTTGGAGGTCTTTAAGCAGAGGCTTGACAACCATATGTCAGGAGTGCTCTGATGGTGTTTCCTGCTTGGCAGGGGGTTGGACTCGATGGCCCTTGTGGTCCCTTCCAACTCTATGATTCTATGATTCTAGGATGAAAACAAATGCTAAGGGTTGGTTATAGAGCAGAAACTTGCCTTAGAGTTGGCCTTAGAGCTCAAAACCCAGCTTCAGGCATTCAGCAGCCATCTTCCCCCCCAACCCCATGCAGTAAGAGCTTTTCAGCTCTCTTCCTTGCTTGAGGGGGGCAGGCGAGACCCACTCTGCATCCCAACTCCAGAAAGAGAAGGATGCTGGGGGGATGGGCAGTCCAAATAGACATGCCGTATTTTTTGCTCTATAAGACGCACCAGACCATAAGACGCACCTAGTTTTTGGAGGAGGAAAACAGGGGGGAAAAATAATCTGAATCCCAGAAGCCAGGACAGCAAGAGGGACCGCTGCTTTCGCTGTCCAGCATTCCCTCTTGCTGTTCTGGCTTCTGCGAAAGCAACGCAAAACCTCTTCACGGCAGGGTGAACGTTCCTCCCACTGCCCTGAGGAGGTTTCGCGCGGCTATCCCAGAAGTCAGAACAGCAAGAGGGATTGCTGCACAGAGAAAGCAACAACCCCTCTTGCTGTTCTGGCTTCTGGGATAGCTGCTTCATAAGATGCACACACATTTCCCCTTACTTTTTAGGAGGAAAAAAGTGTGTCTTATAGAGCGAAAAATACGGTGTTTTTGCATCTGTGAGGCCCTGGGAACCAAACCCCTGCGTAAGATGCAATTGTACTGTGCAAGAAGCCATGTTGAGAGTGTTTGTGTGTGATTTATTCCGGATGTGCTCAGAGATTGCAGCCCGAGCCCTCGCCGTGCCCTAGCACTGAACTCTCGCCGATGGTCTTCTGCCAGAAATGTGATTCATGCTTGCGCTTTCCCTTTTTTCTCCGTTTCCCAGCATGCGAAACTCTGCTACCGTAATTCTCTTGAGGCCTTTGCATCAGCCTAACCTTGTTCCCCTAGCCTACTGTTTACCAAGTAATGTCGGAGGTTAAAATACAATGGTTTTTTGCCGCTGTCGATTTTGTACCTGTGCTTGTCCTATCGACTTTCTGAATAGCAAAACAATGGAAATAGCAGGTATAAAGTCGCAGGGCCTATCTAGCTCTTGTTTCCGTGGCTGGCGAAAAGACAGGTGCGCAGGAAAGCAGCTGGGACAGAGTCGGATCCTTCGTCCGTCTAGTTCAGAAACGTTGGCACACAGCCGCAAAACTCCTCCACCTATATATTGAGCATTCATCCGATTTGATCACACAATGTTTATGCAGAGGTTAGATTAAATCCTGTCTTTCCTGAGCATTTATTCTGGTTTTGCGGGGAGGCTGGAAGCCAACAATTTTATTGTGGGGTCCTTAAAATAAAATAAAAATACATCTTCCTGTTAATCATTCTGCACTTTGTAGTGTATTTGCTCATCATTTTCCAAACCACAAAAAGTTCATTTTAAAACAACAGCAACAATAACAACATTAATTTGTTGCGCTAGGGTGGACAGCGTGTTTCGACCCAGTTCCACAGCACAAACCTACATTTCCCAGAATGTGCTTGGGAGTTCGTTCGTCAAAGGAAGTACTGGTTCGGCGTCTCTGAAAACGAACTAATTCTGGCCCTCATTTGTCCCTTTGCAAACAAACAAGCTAGTTTGGTTCATCTTCCGTTCCCAGTTCAAGACATGTTCATCCAAATGATCGTGGGAAAAGAAAATTCAGCATTCAGAATGCTACAAAGATATCCCTCCAGAGAAATCAATTTCACTGCACATTGATGACTATTTGTGCTCATGGTGCTAAAGGGGTGGCCATAAACTCATAGAACTATATATATAAAAAAAGGTAAAGGTAAAGGACCCCTGACAGTTACGTCCAGTCGCAGACGACTCTGGGGTTGTGGCGCTCATCTCACTTTACTGGCCGAGGGAGCCGGCGTTTGTCCACAGACATGTGGCCAACATGTGGCCAACATGACTAAGCCGCTTATGGCGAAACCAGAGCAGCGCACGGAAACGCCGTTTACCTTCCCGCCCGAGCAGTACCTATTTATCTACTTGCACTGGTGTGCTTTCGAACTGCTAGGTTGGCAGGAGCTGGGACCGAGCAACGGTCAGGGATTCGAACCGCCAACCTTCCGATCGGCAAGCCCTAGGCTCTGTGGTTTAGACCGCAGCGCCACCTGCACCCCATAGAACTGTAGAGAAGGACAAAAAAATCCCTGCACCCAGTGCTTTTTTTCTTTTTAAAAAAACCCAAAAACGTTTAGAGGTACTCTCATTTTCCAACTCATATTGAAATACTGACCTTCAACAAGGCCAAACTTAGATTCACAAAATGTTTAGGGGTATGTGTACCCCTGTGTCCCCCCCCCCGAAAAAAAATGAAGGGAATGGTGAAGCTGGCATTCGAAACCCTTCCTATAATTTCAAAGGAAAAGGTTATCAATCCACTTTAAACTCTTTAATTGTGATGTTTCAGCAGCCAGCCATTTCGTAGGAGGCACATGGAGTGTTTATTTCTTTATTGTAAATGGAACCTTACACTGTCTACTGAGAAGTAAGTCCCTCTGTATTAAATGGAGCTTACTCCCAGGTAACTGGGTAAAGACTACACAGCCTTCTTAAATCTTAAGCATTTTTACTCAGAATGAATTCTCTCTGAGTTCAGTCGGATTTTCTGGTATGCTC